AGGAGGCGGGGCCCGGGGCAGGCCCGTGAGCGAGGGGGCCGCGGCTTCGGGAGCCTGGAAGAGGGGGTCGGCGGGGAGAGCCTGCCCTGGGCGGGGGGCCGCAGGCCTAGGGCCTCTGGCAGCCCCATCCGCGCGCGCTCTGATCCTCCAAACCTCAGCAACCTGGAGGAGTTCCCTCCAGTAGGCTCGATTCCCCCGGGCAATGCAGGGTGAGAATCACTTCTCATCCAGGAGATGGGTGGTGCAAAGCTATGCTAGGGGAGTCAATAACTTGGGGCTGGGCACTCCTTAGTAGAGCTTGGGAATTGCTGGAAGGTTGGGAATGAGATAATTACAGTAATGAGGGGCGTGTCGCAGAGACCCCAGCTCTTGTCAGGATGCTTGAAGTGGGAATTGGAGAAAAGCCTGTGGCTACCCTCAACAGGACGAAGCCTTCACGCAGGATCAACCCAACTCCGGTGAGCGAAGAGCGGTCACTCTCCAAGCCCAAGATCTGCTTCACTTCACCCCCCATCAGCTCTGTCCCCAGTTCCCAACCCTCAGTCCTGGACTCTAGCCCTTGGGGCCATGGCCTTACCCCAGGGTGCGGAAGTCTGCAAGAAGAGCGGGAGATGCTCAGGAAGGAGCGGTATGGCCTTGCTGCTCCCTGGCATGTTAGCTTCCTTCCTGTGGGGGATCTGTAAGGCTTTTCCCTGAGGTTGATTGCCCCCTGGGAACCTTGGGTATGTTTCCTGGGCTATGGCTGTCCCCTCTGGAGGAACCCGAGTATAGCTTTGGAGGGGAAGCCAGGCAGAGTGCTCATGATATCTCTTTATCTCCATAGCTCTAAGCAGCTGCAGCAATCACCTGCTCCCACCTGTCCTACCCCAGAATTGGGGTCTTCCCTCCCCATCCGGACAGGAAACCTCACAGCTGAACCTGCTGATCCTGCCAAAGTGTCTTCTCGCCAGCGCCTAGAGCTGGTAGCCCTTGTCTATTCTTCATGCATTGCAGGTGAGTGAGAGCAAAGGGCGCTGGAGTGGATACTTAAAGAACTGTAGGGTAAGAGAATTGATAAGGCATGTAGAACTGAGCCTTGATTCTGAATGGTGCTCATTGTGCTGGGGTTTCTTCTTATATCCAGAAAACCTGGTGCCAAATCTCTTCTTGGAGCTTTTCTTCGTCCTTCAGCTGCTTACTGCCCGGAGAATGGTGGCTGCCAAGGACAGTGACTTTGAACCTAGTCTGGGAGTCCTAGGTCAGTGAACAAGCCTCTTTTTGAGAAATGGGGTCTAGAAATGGAATAATTCTTAACTGACAGCTTGATACTATCCTTCTAGATTCCCTGGAAAGCCCACTATTCCAGAGTGTCCACGATTGTGTCTTCTTTGCAGTGCAGGTTTTGGAACATCAGTTTCAGTGAGTTTCCCTAGCTGAGACATCTGAGCCTTATTCCCATTGTCCACTTGGTTTTCTGGCCACTTCGGGTATGGACTTGAGCTTAACATGTGTATGCAGTTACCCTGTACCTTTTCCTACATGTAACCCTTTAATTTTGTATCAAGGCTATGAATTTAACCTGTGAAAGAATCAAACTGCCCACTGTGGTCTTGGTGACTGACCTTTGGATTAATGTCTCATGTTCCTGTCCTGCTCTCTTGCTCCCTACTCCATAAGGTCTCATTTCCTCCCCTTTTACTTTTATCATCTTTAATCCTTGGCCTGTGACTTTGCCTTACATACCTGCTCCGTGCTCCATATTCTGTGTGGTGTGCAGGTGCCAGCTTCCTATTTGCAGTTTGTGTCTGATTACAGTCATATGTGCTCTTGACCCTATAGAGTTCTTTCCTACCTGGACAAAGGGACCTTGAAGCTGTTGGCTGAGAATGAGCGGCTGCTATGCTTCTCACCATCTCTCCAAGGCCGCCTTCGAGTTGCCTACGAGGGCAGTGTTGCCAAGGTACTGACTCTTATCTTACATGTCTACTGGCCCAGACCTGACCCTTTCCAGCCTCATAGTTCAGGCAGCCCAACTCACACCATTCTACTGTCCTGTGGTGTAACTGGGCAAGAATAAAGGGATGAAGTTTTCTGAGCATGCACTCTGCAGGCTCCTGTTCCTAATGTCATTGCCATATTTTAGGTCTCTCTGACGATGCCACCATCTGTTCAAGCTGTCTCCTTTCAGCCAGAAACTGACAATCGTGCCAACTTCTCCAGTGACCGAGCCTTTCATACTTTTAAAAAGCAGAGGTGATAAGGGAATTCAGGGGGAGGGGATGAAGCCACATTTACTCTGGGATAGGCAACTTATGTCATTTTCATAGAAACTAAAAGTTTGGTGCTAACAGTTGCTTTATGCCCTTAGACTTGAACCTCTGATCTTAGCAGCCTTCTCACAGGGTGTGACTTAGTCACAGGGTTCTCAGACAAATTAGAGCTTTCAGTACCCACAGAAGTACATTAGGCATGTGGTATGCTGCTGCTGGGTTATAACATTGTCATCCTGTAGGGAACTTTGGAAAACATAAGGAATGGGGCTGTGGGTAGTCCTGTCCTCAGTTCTTCTGAGCTAGGGAAGGTGCTCTTGGGATTGAGTTAGATCAGCTGGGAATGAAATCAGCTGTGCCTTAGTTCATCAGTCATTCTTATGTGTCTGTCAGAGATGTATTTTATGAGGTACTTCGAGAGTGGGAAGATCGCCATGAGGAGCCTGGCTGGGATTTTGAGAAGGGCTTGGGCAGCAGGATCAGGTAGGTGCTCAAACACTGGTCACCTTGTCTTGCTTGCTTCCAGCAGGGAGCAGCTTAGTGGTACTTGGGTAACTGGAGGAAGGCCTTTCTCCCACTGCTTCCGGCCTGAAGCTGTTATCCTATTCTTAATCTCTCCAGTTATTGACAACTCTGCCTCTCCTCGGGGATTTGTCTCTCCAGCTCCTTTCACTCAGAAATTACATACTTGTTCTGTGGTGGTGAACGCTTGGAAAAATGCAAAGCTCTTACTCCTGTTTGCTTGAGTTTTGGCCCAAGTTACTGGTTAGAGCCTTTCCAATTTCTATTTTCCCCATTGTCTGGTTTGGCAATTCTGATCACTTTGCATAGCTACATAACTAGGATGCAGAAAGAATATCTTCTGCCCAGTGATTTACCTTCCTCCTGGGTCATGAAGCTCACTGGCACTCATTGAGGATTGATGATTAGAGGAGTGATGTTATTTCTTGTTTGGCTAAATGTATCTTTAGCCTTGAAGGGATCTCACTACTGACGAAAGTGTCCCTTACCTTTTCCTACTTTCTTGTGCTGGCTATGGCAGAGGTCTGCTCAGAGGGCCTGGTAAAGGGCTGAAAGTCCCAAGGTGGTTCTCTCAGATCTAGCCCCTTCCTCCTTCCCTCACACTCTGTTCCTGCTTCATTCCTCAGAGCCATGATGGGTCAACTCTCTGCAGCCTGCAGCCACAGTCATTTTGTTCGGCTTTTTCAAAAACAACTTCTCCAGGTAATAGCCCTAGCAGGAGATTAATCTACAGTGAACAGTAGGCATTACAGACAGCCAAGTAATGGCTGGCACTGTGGGATAGTGGGGGCAGCCAGGCAGGTCCTGGGCTGGAGTTCAAACAGGAGTTCTGCTTCTTGGGTAGTGGTTGAAACTCAGGCAGCAGAGAGGAGTGAGGGCGCTCTCTCAACATGCCCTGCACCCCCACCTCCCTGGGCCTCCTCTCACACCCCTTACCTTCCTGCCTGCCTTCAACCTCTCACTACTTTCTGACCCTTGAATTCTGTTGTGGTAGAAAGAGTGTGGGCTTAAGACTCAGATGGGCCTGGTTTTAGATCCTGGCTTTATTGACCCTAGGTAGATGTTTCATCTTGCAGTTGCAGTTTCTTCACTTGTAAAACAAGAACATAACCCCTACCTCAAAAAATGTATCTGTGGCACCAATAAAGGGTTGGCATTCCATAAATGTTTATTACTTCCTCTTTATTTTGTTCAATCCTTCTTTCCAAAAAAAAAAAACTTACTGTTTTTTTATTTCTCTCCTCACCACTGCTCCAGATGTGCCAGAGTCCTGGTGGTGCTGGGAGCACAATCTTGGGTGAGGCTTCTGATGTGTTAAGTATGCTTGGAGCTGACAAGTTGGGACGGTTGCGGCGCCTACAGGAACGGCTTGCAGCCCCTCAGAGCAGTGGTGGTCCCTGCCCACCCCCATCCTTCCCAGGCTGTCAGGGATTCTTCAGGGACTTTATCCTGAGTGCCAGCAGGTAAAGGTTCCTATGTCTTGCGGTGAGTGGGACAGAGGCCAGGAGAGGGTTGTCTTCCCAGAAGGGCAGATGGTTCTCTCTCTCCTTTGCCTAGAATATAACAGGGTGGGACTGGTGATACCTGGGCTCCTTCTAGCTCACACTTTCTGCCTCCGTTTTCCTCTTTTTTTTTAATTAAAAATTTTTTTCTCAATTACAGTCAACATTAAATATTATATTAGTTTCAGGTGTACAGCAGTGATTAAAAATTTATATAACTTATATAACTTACAAAGTGATCACCCAGATAAGTCTATTACCCACCTGAAGCCATACATAGTTATCACAATACTATTGACTATATTTTCTATGCTGTACTTTACATCCCTGTGACTGTTTTTATAACTGGCAATTTATACCTCTTAATTCCTTTACCTTTTTCATCCATATCCCCAACATCCCTCCCATCTGGTAACCATCAGTTTGCTCTTTGTATAATTTTGTTTGTTTATATTGTTTATTACATTACATATATAAGTGAAGTGATATGCTATTTGTCTCTCTCTGACTTATTTCACTCAGCATAATACCCTCTAGGTTCATTTATGTTGTCACAAATGGAAAGATTTAATTCATTTTTTTATGGCTGAGTAATTTCCATATACACTATGTACCACATCTTTATCCATTTGTCTGCCAATGGACACTTAGGTTGCTTCCATACTTGGTATCTGTATATAATGTTGCATTGAACATAGGGGTGCAATACATCTTTTTGAATTAGTGTTTTGGATTTCTTTGGATAAATACCCAGTAGTGGAATTGCTGGGTCATATGGTAGATCTTTTTTTATTACTATTTTTTAATATGTCTTGATTGATTTCAGAGAGAGGAAGGGGGAGAGAGAGAGAGAGAGAGAGAGAAACATCAGTGATGAGAGAGTCATTGAACGGCTGCCTCCTGCACACCCCTTACTGGGGATCGAGACTGCAACCCGGGCATGTGCCCTGACTGGGAATTGAACTGTGATCTCCTAGATTGTAGGTCGATGCTCATCCACTGAACCATGTGGTCCGGGGAGTAGTTCTATTTTTAATGTTTTGAGGAACCTCCATACTGTTTTACATACTGGCTGCACCAATTTATAGTCCCACCAAACAGTACATGAGGTTTCCTATTTCTCCACATCCTTGCTAGCACTTGTTTGTGTCTTAATGATAGCCATTCTGACAGGTGTGAGGTGGTATTTCATTTTGGTTTTAAATTTCATTTCCCTGATAATAAGTTAACTTTCAGCAGCTTTTCATATGTGTATTGGCCATCTGTATATCCTCTTTGGAGAAAGGTCTATTCAGATCTTCTGCACATTTTTCAATTGAATTGTTTGGGATTTTTTGGTGTTCAGTTATATGAGTTCCTTTTATATTTTGGATATTAACCCCTTATCAGGCGTATTGTTGGTGAATACCTTCTCCCTTTCAATAGGTTGTCTTTGGGTTTTGTTGATTGTTTCCTTTGGTGTGCAAAAACTTTAGTTTGATGTAGTTCCATTTGTTTATTTTTTCTTTTGTTTCCCTTGCCCCAGGAGACATGTCCAAAAAAATATTGCTAAAAGTGATGTCATAGAGTTTATTGCCTCTGCTTTTCATCTAGGAGTTTTGTGGTTTCAGGCCTTACATTTAAGTCTTTAATCCATTTTAAGTTTATTTTTGTATATAGTGTATGAAAGTGGTCCAGTTTCTTGTTTCTTTTTTGCATGGACCTGTCCAATTTTCTCAGTACCATGTAATGAAGACAGTCGTTACCTCACCATATATTCTTGCCTCCTTTGTCATAGATTAATTAACCATACATGCATGGATTTATTTCTGGGCTCTCTATTCTGTTCCATTGAGCCATGTGTTTGTTTTTATGCCAGTACCAAGCTGTTTTGATTACTATAGCCTTATATAATTTCATATCTGATAGCATGATACCTCCAATTTAGTTCTTTCCCAAGATTGCTATGACTATTTGGAGTCTTTTATGGTTCCATATAAATTTTAGAATTATTCTAGTTCTGTGCGGGGGGAAAAAGCCATTGATATTTATAGGGATTGCATTGAGTTTATAGATAGCTTTGGGTAGTATGGGCATTTTAACAATATTGATTCTCCCTATCTATTAGCATGATATATGCTTCATTTATTTGTATCTTCAGTTTCTTTCTTCAGTGTCTTATAGTTTACTGAGTACAGGTCTTTTACTTCCTTGGTTAAATTTATTCCTAGATATTTTTTTTGATGCAGTTGTAACTGGGATTTTTTCTTAATTTCTCTTTCTGAGGGTTTGTTATTGGTGTATAAAAGTGAAGCCAATTTCCTAATATTAATGTTGTATCCTGATTCTTTACTGAATTCATTTATCCTAATAATTTTCTGGTGGAGTCGTTAGGGTTGTTTGTATAGAGTATCGTGTCATCTGTAAAAAATGATAGTTTTACTTCTTCCTTTCCAATTTGGATGCTTTTTATTTCTTTTTCTTGTCTCATTGCTGTGACTAGAACCTTTAATACTATGTTAAATAAAAGTGGTGAAAGTGGACATCCCTGTCTTTTTCCTGATGTTAAATAAAAAGCTTTCAGATTTTCACTGGGGTATGTCGAGGTATTATCTCGCTTTGCTGAGAGTTTTTATCATAAATGGATGTTGGGTTTTGTCAAATGCTTTTTCTGCATCTATTGATATGATTATATGATTTTTATCCTTCATTTTGTTTATGTGATGTACCATATTAATTCATTTGCAGATAGTGAACCAAACTTGCATCCAGGAATAAATCCCACTTGACAATGATTATGATCTTTTTAAGTTATTGCTGAATTCAGTTTACTAATACTTGTTGAGGATTTTTACATCTATATTCATGAGGGATATTGTCCTATTTTCATTTTTTGTAGTCTTTTTTGTTTTGGTATCAGGATAGTGCTGGCCTCTTAAAATGAGTTTGGGAGTCTTCCTTTCTCTGTTTTTTTTGGACTAGTTTGAGGATAGGTATTAACTCTTTGAATGGTTGGTAAAATTCACCTGTGAAGCCATGGTCCAAGGCTTTTGTTTGTTGCGAGTTTGTTGATTAATGATTCTATATTAGCCGTTATCAGTTTGTTCAGATTTTCTGTTTCTTCCTGGTTCAGCCTTGAAAGTTTGTATGTTTCTAGGAATTTATCCATTTCTTCCAGGTTGTCCAATTTTTTGGTATATAATTATTTGTAGTATTTTCTTTCTTTGTTTTTTTTTTTTTTTTAATTAAATATGTCTTTGCCCTAGCTGGGTTTGCTCAATGGTTACAGCATCGGCCCACAGACTGAAGGGTCCTGTGTTCAATTTCGGCCAATGGCACATACCTCAGTTGCAGGCTTAATCCCTGGGCCCAGTCCCAGTTAGGGCGCATGTGGGAGGCAACCAATAGATGTATCTCTCCCACATCCATGTCTCTCTCCCCACCCTCCCCACTCTCTCTGAAAAGCAATGGAAAAAATATCCTTGGGTGAAGATTAAAAATAAATAAATAAATATATCTTTATTGATTTCAGAGAGAGGAAGGAAGAGGGAGAGAGATGAAATATCAGTGATGAGAGAGTCATTGACTGCCTCCACTGGGGATCAAGCCCAAAACCTGGGCATGTGCCTTGACCAGAAGTCAAACCGGTGACCTCTTGGTTCATAAGTTGATGCTCAACCACTGAGCCACGCTGGCTGGACTGTAGTAGTTTCTTATAATTATTTGTATTTCTGTGGTGTCAGTTGTCACTTCTCTTTTCTTTCTGCTTTTATTTATTTGAGCCCTTTAATTTTTTCTTGATGGTCTGGCTAAAGTTTTATCAATTTGTTTATCCTTTCAAAGAAACAACTCTTGGTTTCATTGATCTTTTCAATAGTTTTGTAGAGTTAATTTCATTTATTTCTGCTCTTTATTATTTCCTTCCTTTTACTCACTTTGAGCTTTGTTTGTTTTTTCTTTTCTAGTTCCTTTAGGTGTAAGGTTAGATTATTTATCTGAGGTTTTTCTTGTTTCATGACATAGACCCTGAATTTTTCCTCATAGAATTGCTTTGGCTGTGTCCCATAGATTTTTTTGTGTTTTTTTTTAAATCCTGACCCGAGGATATTTTTTCCATTGCTTTTCAGAAAGAGTACAAGCAGGGGGAATGGACATCGATATGAGAGACACATTGATTGGTTGCTTCCCGCACTTACCCCACCCAGGTTGGGGATGGAGCCTGCAACTGAGGTACATGTCCTTGGGCAGAATTGAACCCAGGACCCTTCAGTCTGCCGGCCAGTGCTCTAACCACTGAGCCACACCGACTAGTGCCCATAGATTTTTTTTTTTTTTTTTGGATTGTCTGTGTCTTCATTTTCATTTATCTCAAGGTATCTTTTGATTTCTTCCTTGATCTCATTGTTAACCTATTCATTGTTTAGTAACATAATTAAGTCTCCATGTTTTTATGTGTTTTTCATTTTTTTCCTGTAATTATAGTTTCATGCCATTGTGATCAGAGAAGATTTTTTTTTTTAAATATATCTTTATTGATTTCAGAGAGAAGGAAGGAGAGGGAGAGAGAGAGATAGGAACATCAATGATGAGAGTCATTGATCGGCTGCCTCCGGCACGCCCCCGACTGGGAATCAAGCCCACAATCCGGACATGTGCCCTGACCGGGAATCGATCCCCGATCGCCTGGATCCTAGGTCGACACTCAACCGCTGAGCCACTCCCGGCCGGGCCAGAAAAGATCTTGATACGATTTCAGTCTTCTTAAATTTATTGAGACTTGTTTTGCGGCCTCATATGTACTCTATCTTAGACTATGCTCCATGTGTACTTGAAAAGAATGTATATTCTGCTTTGGGTTGAAATGCTCCGAAAATATCAATTAAATCCATTTGGCCTAGTGTTTCATTTAAGGTTGCTGTTTCTTTGTTGATTATCTGTTGGGAAGATATATCCATCGATGTTGATGGGGTGTTAAACTCCTGTACTGTATATTACTGTCTCTCCCTTTATGTCCATCAGTATTTGCTTTATATATTCAGGTTCTTCTGTGTTGAGTGCATAGATGTTTTCAAGAGTTATACCCTCTTATTGGATTGATTTCTTTATCATTATGAAGTGCGCTTTTTTGTCTCTTGTTACAGCCCTTATTTAAAGTCTTTTTTTGTCTGGTAGAAGTATTGCTACCCAGCTTTTTTTCATTTACATTTGCATGAAAAACTTTTCCATCCCTATACTTTCAGTTTGTGTGTTCTTTTGATCTGAAGTACATCTCTTGTAGGCAGCATATGTAATGGTCTTGTTTTCTTATCCATTCGGCCACCCTGTCTTTTGATGGGAGCATTTAGTTCATTTATATTTAAAATAATTATTGATAGATATGTAGTTATTGCAGCATTTTATTATTTTCTGATTGATTTTGTAATTCTCTGTTCCTTTCTTATTCTCGTCCTCTATTTGTATTTTGATGATTTTCTATAATGTTGTATATGGGTTCCTTTCTCTGTATATCTTGTGCACTCTTATAGATTTTTGGTCTGTGGTTAACGTGTTTCATATATACCAAGCTATGTTTATAGCAGTCTCTTTTAAGTTGATGGTCATTTACGTTTGAACATATTCTAAAATTACTACAGTTTTTACTCACCCCCCCCTACATTTATGTTTTTGTCATTCTTTTTTACTTCCTTTGTGTGTGTGTGTGTGTGTGTGTGTGTGTGTGTGTCTATTCCTTATTGTAATTACACATGACCTTCCTACTTTTGCCTTTTCACCTTTGTACTAGCTTATAGTTGGTTTATCCACCACTTTGTGTCTTTTGTCAGTGAGAATTTTTTTTCATATGTTTTTCTTATTCTTTTATCTTTTTTTCTTAAAGAAATCCCTTTGAGCCCTGGCTAGTGTGGCTCAGTTGAGTGTCATCCTGTGCACCGAAGGGTTGCTAGTTTGATTCCCAATCAGAGCACATACCCAGGTTGTGGATTCGATCCCCAGTCAGGGTGTGTGTGGGAAGCAGCCAATTGATGTTTCTCTCTCTCTCCCTCTCCTTTCCTCTCTCAAGTCAGTAAAAACATTTTTAAAAAAAACAAAAAAGAAGTCCCTTTGACATTTCTTGTAATACTGGTTTAGTGGTGATGAACCCCTTTAGATTTTTTTTATCTGGGAAACTCTTTAATGTCCTTTGATTCTGAATGATAGCCTTACTGGATAGAGTAATATTTTTTCTGGGTCTTTGCTTTTCATTACTGTGAATATTTTGTGCTAATCCCTTCTGGCCTGCAAAGTTTCTGTTGAGAAATCAACTGAGTGTCTTATGGGAGGTCCCTAATAGGTAACTAACTCCTTTTCTCTTGCTGCTTTTAAGATTCTCTGTCTTTGCCCAGCCGGGCGTGGCTCAGCGGTTGAGCGTCGACCTGGGATTCAGGTGATCGGGGTTCGATTCCCTGTCAGGGCACATGCCCACATTGTGGGCTCGATCAATGACTCTCTCATCATTGATGTTTCTCTCTCTCTCTCTCCCCCTCCTTTCCTCTCTCTGAAATCAATAAAGATATATTTTTAAAAAAAAAAAAAGATTCTGTCTTTAACCTTTGACATGTTAATTATGATGTGTCTCAGTGTAGACCTCTTTGGGTTCATCTTGTTTGGGACTCTCTGCTTCCTGGACTTGTATTTCTATTTTCTTCATCAAGTTAGGGAAGTTTTCCATCATTATTTCTTCAGATAGGTTTTTAATTCCTTGCTCTCTGTCGTCCTTCTGGTACCCCTGTGATACTAATGTTACCCTTGATGATGTCCCAGACACACCTTAAACTATTCTAATTTTTTTTTTTTTAATATATCTTTATTGATTTCAGAGAGAGGAAAGGAGAGGTAGAGAGAGAGAGAGAAACATCAATGATGAAAGAGTCATTGATCAGCTAGCCCGCAACCCGGGCATGTGCCCTGACTGGGAATCGAACCCCGATCGCCTGGATCCTAGGTTGATGCTCAACCGCTGAGCCACGTCCAGCCAGGGATCTAATTTTTTTAAATTCTTTTTTCTTTTTGCTGTTCTGATGGGTATTTTCCTTTACATTGTCTTCCAGATCACTGATTCAGTCCTTTGCTTCATTTAATTGGCTTTTGATTCCCTATAACATATTGTTTATTTCAGTTATTGTAGTCTTCATTTCTGACTGGCTCTTTTTTATAGTCCCTGTCTCTTTGTTGAAGTTCTCATCAAGTTCATCTGTTCTTCCCCGATGTTTGAGCATTGTTGAGCATTCTTTTTTTTTCTTCTCTTGGTTTAAAACAGCCAATCTCTGCTTGGCTTCCTCTCACATGGCCTTCTTGCCCCATTGGGCATTCTTTTTTTAAAAAAAATTTTATTGACTTTTGAGAGAGGGGGGAAAGAAAAAAACCAATGTGAGAGCGCAACATCAGTTGGCTTCCTCCTGCACACCCCCTACCAGGGATTGAGCCTGCAACCCCTGCATGTGCCCTGACCAGGAATCAATCTGGCAACCTTTCAGTATGCAGGACAACACCCAACCAACTGAGCCACACTGACCAGCGCCCCACTGAGCATTCTTATAGCCAGTGTTTTGAACTCTGTATCTAGTAGATTGCTTGTCTCCATTTTATTTAGTTCTTTTGCTATAGTTTCCTGTTATTTCATTTGGAACATGTTTCTTTGTCTTCTCGTTTTGGTTGCCTCCCTATATTTGTTTCTATATATTTGGTAAATTTGCTACATCTCCCTGTTTTGGCATAATGGCCTTATGAAGTAGGTGTCCTGGGAGGTCCTGTGGCACAGTCTTCCCATTCACCTGAGCTATGTGCTCCAGGGGTGTACCTTGTGTGGGTTGTGTGTGCCCTCTTGTTGTAATTGAGCCTTGATTATTGTTGGCCCATCAGTGGGGTAGGACTGACCCTCAGTCTGACTGGCTATGAGGGCTCGCCATGACTACAGTGAACAGCTTTTGTGTGAGGGTTGACCCCACAGAGCAAGAGTCACTTTAAAAGTGCTCTGGGATCAGTCAAGTCCCCCTTTAGGTGTGTTGTTTGTTGACTTGGTTGGCTGGTGCACTGTTGTGATCTGAAGCCAGCTACCTGGTGTGTTGGTTCTGGAGTCTCTTAGGAAGGGCTCTGGTGCAGGCCAAGGTCAGCTGCCACTGTGCTTGTCTTGGAGCTACCTGGTTGCAGCTATAACGTGATGTTTGATTACCACTTGTGCTGGACTTAGCAGTGCTTGGGAGAGGCTATGCTGTGTATTCTTGGCATTGGCCACTTTGGTGGAGCTATGTTCCCATCTGAGACTGGCTGCCACTTATGCCAGGCTTGGGACCACCTGGTGGGAGTTAAAATGCAAATTTAGATCAGTTGCCACTTGTACCAGGCGTAGGGTTGCTTAGCAAGAGATATAGTGCACACCAAGGCCAGCCTCTGCATATTTGGGTTTTGTGGACGTTTGAGAGAGTTTAGGGAAGTCTATAGCGCAAGCCAAGGCAAGTCACTTGTGTGGTAAAGCTGCTGGAAGTGGCTCAAGCCAGGCCTTCGAGTAGGGGTGGGACCAGGTCTCAGGGAATCACCAGGGCCAGTAAATCATGTTACCCAGCAAGTGGAGAACACAGATTTCCAGCTGGGTGTTGGGAGAGCTCAAGAAAGGAACAGTACCTGCCAGGGTTTCTTTCCCTGGACAGAGGTGCCCTGACTTCTCCCGCTCTAACCCTCACCCTGAAGCTAGTCAATTCAATTCCTCCCCATGTCCCTGGAGCTTTTCAAGCTGCTACCCCTGTTCTGGAGCCAGAGCGAGTGAGTTTGTGAGCAAGTGAGTCTGTGTACTGGCTCCTAAAGAGGAATGCCTGGGACTTCAGCAGTACTCTGTCTCACTGGGATGCAGTCCCTGCTGTTTTTCACAGCCAGAAGTTATAGAGACTCTTGTTGGCACTGGTAGCCTGGGCTGGGGAACCTGGTATGGGGCTGTGGAGGTCCACCTCTCTCTTCAGGGTGGACCTCCACAACTGAGATAACCCTCCTGATTCTTAATCTCCACTTGTGGCCCATTTAGTATCTCCACCCCTCCTGACAGTCTCAAAGTGGCTTCTTTATATCCTTAGTTATAAGACTTCAGTTCAACTAGTCTTCAGGTGGTTCCCAGTGATGATTGTTCTATAATTTAGTAGAAATTTTGATGTGGTCATGGGAGGAGGTGGGGCACAGTTTGCCTACCTCACCATCTTAAGATCTCTCTCTCATTCTTTCACCCATGTGAGTGACCTCATTGCTCCTTGGCCTCCTCTCTCAACACCACTGAGCCTTCCTGTCTGGAGTACCTCTTCTCTATTCTGGTTCTTATACCTATTCCAGTGCCTTTTTTTTTTTCTTTCTTGCTCCCCTTCCTAGTTTCCAGTTTAATCAGCATCTCATGGATAGTCTGAGTTTGAAGATCCGGGAGCTCAATGGCCTTGTCCTGCCTCAGCCTGAGCCTAGTGATGAAGATGGAGAGTCAGATGTGGACTGGCAGGTTAAAAGCAGAACAAGGGAGTGGAAGGGATTGTGACCTAGGAGGGAGGGGATATTTTCAAGAACTTTGTAACAGATTTGGGGTTTTTCTAGAAGCCTTATGCTTAGGACTGTTTACTTCCCTGATCTACAGGGTGAACGGAGGCAGTTTGCTGTGGTGCTACTGAGCCTGAGGCTTCTGGCTAAATTCCTGGGCTTTGTGGCTTTCCTGCCATACCGGGGGCCTGAACCACCCCCAACCCGTGAGCTCCAGGACTCCATTCTGGCCCTGAGAAGCCAGGTGAGTAGGGGCTCTGGTATCGAGGGTGCTGGGAGGAGCCACAGAGCCCTTCGGGACCTGCTGACTGAGTTTTGGCCCTGCCAGGTGCCCCCAGTCCTGGATGTACGAGCTCTGCTACAGCAGGGGCTACAGGCCCACAGAGCAGTGCTCACGGTGCCCTGGTTGGTGGAGTTCCTTTCCCTGGCTGACCACATTGTTCCCATGCTGGACTATTACCGCAGCATCTTCACTCTCCTACTACAACTACATCGGTGAGTAGAGAAAGGGCAAGGCTTTAAAGTGGTGTGGGGTGAGGTTGATGTTTAAGAAGAGAGTTTTGCAGTCTATGCTTCCTATATGGTACCATAGCCATAACCGACCCTCAGAGGAGAGGCTGGGTTTGCTCCATAAAAAAAGACACTGGGTAGTTATTTGCCCTTTTCTGTTCCCACTGTGGCCCAGCTAAGAGGGAGTACAGATCTGAGAAGGGGCACTGAGGAGATTCTGGTTGCCTGCAGTCCCTTTTGGATCTGCTTTTGAGAATTACCATCCTAGCCATAGCTTTCTTTTACTTCATTTCATTTCTTTCTTTGCACAAATTCAGTTGATACCCTCATTTACCTTTTAGGAACTTGGTTTTGTCAAAGGAGGGTGAAGGGGAGATGTGCTTTCTCAATAAGCTGTTGCTGCTTGCTGTCCTGGGCTGGCTTTTCCAGGTTGGTGGAGTGAGGGTCCAGATTTGGAAAGGAGGGGGGCAACTACTGTGGCTGGAGATGGGGAGAGGGAGAATGTCTGAGTCTCATCAAGGTTGGAGCCAGAAGATGAAGGTTCAGAAGGAGGTATGGGAATTACCATAGTTTCAGAGGAAGTTTGCCTAAACCCTGACACCATGAGGTAGGTGGGAGATGTGGTGAATCTCCAGTGCTAACTGCAGCTTGTACTGCTTTAATCTCTCTTCAGATTCCCACAGTCCCCGAAGACCTGTTCTTTCTGGAAGAGGGTCAGTTGGAGGTCTTTGAGATGGATACAAAAGCTTCAGAGCATGGTTTGGTGAGTGTTGGGGTCCAGCCAGAGCCATAGGGTCCACAGGAATAAAGGGGTAGGCTGTCTGAGGCCCAGCAGGAGACAAGCCAGGATAGAGACTGAACTCTCATATAATTTCTGGCACACTGGGAAGGAAAAGAAGCCTGCCTGCCTTCCCAATTCTGGCTGTTCTCTCCCCTAGGATGGCATGCCTGTGGTGGACCAGCATCTACTCTACACTTGCTGCCCCTATATCGGTGAGGATACTTGTCCCCCCACCCCCAACAATGGTCCTTAGTCCTTGGCCTGTCCCTTTTTGAGTACCCAAAAGGCACTCCATGGGCCTAACACCATAATGTGTTGTTTTGTTCTTAGACACTCCCCAGGTGCCTCAGCCTCTTTGCTTCACAAATGCTTAAAGTCCAACATGCTTTGGGCTGGGGGGGCAGGGGCAGGTTCTAGAACTAAGTATTTGGTCTTCCCTGATGCAGGAGAGCTCCGCAAACTGCTAGCTTCATGGGTATCAGGCAGCAGTGGGCGGAGTGGGGGCTTCGTAAGGAAAATCACCCCCACCACCACCACCAGCCTGGGAGCCCAGCCTCTCCGGACCACCCAGGGGCTGCAGGTGAGGGGCAAGGTGGAGGCAGGGGGCCACTCAGTGGGGAAAAGGGAAATCCTTCACTGCACTGCTCCCTCCTCCCATAGGCACAGCTGGCTCAAGCCTTTTTCCACAACCAGCCACCCTCCCTACGCAGGACTGTGGAGTTTGTGGCAGAGAGAATTGGCTCTAACTGTGTCAAACATATCAAGTGAGTATGGGTTGAGGGGTTTAGGAATGGGGGTGTTGAGGGTCCCAGTCTCATTCTTTTACCATTTTTTCCCTTTTAACTCCTAATACCTTGTTGCCAAACTGAGGAAAGTCAGTTGCAGGGGGTTGGGGAGGAAGGGTCGGGTGGGGGAGGCTGAAATTGCTAACTTTCTTTGAAGTTAGTTCTGACCAGATTTCCTTGAATTTGCAGCCCCTTTCTGATTCAACCCTTCCAACTACCTCCAAACATTGCTGTCCCTGCTACAGGGCCACGCTGGTGGCAGATCTGGTGCACCAGGCAGAGTCACTTCTTCAAGAGCAGCTGGTGACGCAGAGGCAGGAAGGGGGAGATCCAGCCCAGCTGTTGGAGATCTTGTGTTCCCAGCTGTGCCCCCATGGGGCCCAGGCATTGACCCAGGGGCGGGAGTAAGAGACACCAGTCTATTTGGACTCTCTCCTCTTAGCTTATATTTTTCTGCCTTTTTTTCTCCCCTCACACTCATATCCTTTATTCCACATCTTCTCCCCACCCCACTGTTTTCATTCTTTTTTTGCCTCCTCTGTAAGCTGTCTTTGGCTTTAGTTTTGGGGACACAAAGTCCAAGTTGTATTGGAAGAGCAGGTGGTTGGGGTTCCCATTCTAGCATCTGGGTGGGGACAGAGGCCTGAGAGTAGTTCCCCCTGAGGCAGAGCCCTTCCTGTTCATGTGATTGGTGCACTCAGGGCATGTCCTTCTGTGGATCAGGCTGAAATAAGACCTCACTGACCCTCTCTGTCTCCTTTTAGGTTCTGCCAAAAGAAGAGCCCTGGTGCCTTGCGGGCACTCCTCCCTGAGGAGACTCCAACAGCTGTACGTAGGAAGGATGCCTGGAGCTAGCGGGCTGGGCGGTTGGTGTGGGAGAGGTGTGTGCTCGTGAACATGCACGTGAGGCTGCTCGCGTTGGGTGGGTCAGTCATGAATTTGGGCATTCGTCATGGTTCCTAACCCTCCTCCAGCCCCTAACTCTGCAGTCCTTCTGTATCACAGGTTCTAAGCAGCGCAGAGAACATTGCTGTGGGGCTTGCAACAGAGAAAGCTTGTACTTGGTTGTCAGCCAACATTACAGGTAAGTCCCAGGCAAGGGGAGTGGCTGACCAAGTTTTTCAGAAGTGGACTGGCAGGAAGTTGGAGGCCATCTGGGGGAAACAGGACTTGGAGCCTGCTGGAAACAGCGAAGGGCATGGGTAGGGCATGGTGAGCCCATGCAGGACTGCTCTGGTGACCCCTTTTCTGTTCTCCCTCTAACCTGCAGCGCTGATCAGGAGAGAGCTGAAAGCAGCAGTGAGTCGCATGCTTCGAGGCCAGGGTCCTGAACCGGCTGCCCGGGGGGATCGGAGGGGCTGCTCCCGTGCCTGTGAGCACCATGCTCCCCTCCCCTCCCACCTCATCTCCGAGATCAAAGTACACAGCTCCCTACTCCCTTCAGCTCCTCTCCCCCACTGCCTGCTCTTTTCCTGGCCTCCCTCCTTTCTCACGTCAGCTCCAGTATTTGTGTTGCAGCTTTCTGTGTTATCCAGCTAGTTCCCATTTTGTTTGATACTGAATGGGATGAGGTAGGACAGGGTTGAATTGAAGGGCTTTCCTAATTGCTCTTTGACTTTTGGTACTTGAATCACCTGAAAAAGGGTAGATATGAAAATTTTTTACTAGATACATATTTCACAGATGGTGATGGGGGTGGGTGGTGATTGTCCAGTGTAGTAGGAATCTTTAAGGGGCAGTCACCGGGTATTGGGATGTGATTTCAGAAATTTCTATGTGGGAGGTAATGCTTGTTTCGTACAGGCAGTAAGAATAATCAGTGCTTTTAACTTGACTTTTAAAAATCAGAGACAATCTAGAGCCAAGGTCATCAAACAACCCATAAGCCAAAACCAGTCTGCTGCTTGTTTTGTAAGTAAAGTGTTATTGGACCACAGCCATGCTTGCTCATTTACAAATTGTCTAGGGCTGTTTTTGTGCTACCGCACAGAGCTAAGTAGTTGGGCAGAGACCTCATGGCCTGTGAAGCCTAAAGTATTTACTGGTTTGCCCTTGTCTAGGATAGTAGTTAGGAGTAAAGATGTGGGCTAGGACTAAGAAGGCATGACTAAGAATGTAACAGGAGGGAGGAGGAGAGGCTGAGTGGCCATTAGCTACTGGTTTTCAACATAGAGGCTTTCTGTACTGAAACCTCGACTCTTCTGAGATGAATAGACAAGCATGAGGGATAGAAAATATGTGTATGCAGTAGACTGGTTCTCTTAAATTCTCTCAGAAGGTGCTGTCCGGGAATTGGCTAGATATGGCTTTGTCTCTTGAATTTTGGCAGCATGTTCTTTAGCTTACCTGCTCCATCTGTCCCCTGTTGTTGTCCACTTGGTTGCTTCTCCCAGCTGTGATGGCCTGCCCCAGCCCCCAGTTTAAGGGCACCTTGGCCCAATCACTTCACCCCAGGAGCCCTGCCTTCCTTTTCCTTCTGCCTCTCCACTGGCTGATCCCCACCCCAAGCCACATTTTCTGTGGTCTCTCTTCTCCTGCCACTACTCTCTCTAGGATGTTCTCTCTGTGGCCGTGGGGCCCCGGGACCCTGAGGAGGGAGTGTCCCCAGAGCATCTTGAGCAACTTCTAGGCCAGCTAGGTCAGACACTGCAGTGCCGCCAGGTATGGCATGGCAAGATGCTCTTCTTGCATGTCCTTGTATGTGCCTAATAACCAGAGCCATGTTGGCTCAGGGCTGCTACTCTAAGGATGGTGCTAATGTCCAGGGTCTCCTTGCTTTTTCCTCAGTTCCTGTGCCCACCTGCCGAGCAGCATCTGGCAAAGTGCTCTGTGGAGTTAGCATCCCTCCTTGGTATGTCCTCTGTCACCTCACTCTTGCCAGATCCCCCCCAGTCTCAGGGTTGGGTACAAACAAGATTAGAACATGAAACTTTCTTCTGCTCGTCCTCCTCCCAGGGACTGGCCAGGTGACCCTGCCTCCATTTTTTAAAGCTTGGCTTTCCTTTCTTACCATAGTTGCAGACCAGATTCCTGTCCTAGGGCCCCCGGCACAACACCGGCTGGAGAGAGGGCAGGCTCGAAGGCTCCTGCACATGCTGCTTTCCCTGTGGAAGGATGACTTTCAGGTGCCTGTTCCACTGCAGCTGCTGCTGAGCCCAAGAAACGTGGGCCTTCTGGCAGACACTCGGCCCAGGGAGGTGAGTCAGAGAGGTGGGTGGCTGGGCCAGACAGGCTTCTTAGCCCTCTGGGGTTATGTTTATATACCTACCACCCTCACCCCAAATGTTATGAGCTTGTTTCTTTTGTTCCCCCTTTTCTGACAGCTTGCTCGTTTTCTGTTCCATGCTGAAATGGACTCCTATAGAGGCTAACCTCAGGTCTTCTCCCTCCTCAGCAGCTCTGTCCTTTAAGTATCAGTCATGGTCACTGTGTAGTCTTCCTAGCACCCTGACCTCCCCCTGTATGTGTGTTGCAGTGGGACCTGCTGCTGTTCTTGCTCCGGGAGCTGGTAGAGAAAGGTCTGATGGGACGGAAAGAGATAGAGGACTGCCTGGACAGCCTCCGTGAGGCCCAGTGGCCAGAGGTAAGGTGTCATCTCCCCTGACCTGGGAAGAGAACAGGTATCATATGTCCCTTTTATCCTGAAAGGGGGCAAGTGATGGTGCCTGGCATTCTTAGCGTCTTTCCAAAGCTCAGTGGATTTTGTCAGGTGTCTTCAGGACCACCCTAAATTGGAGTAGCTGTTCTGGTGGGCCTTCTTCACATTTGAGCAGCTACTGTATGAAGGACCGTGTCAGTGGAGGAAGGGAAGATGGAAGGCAGGTATAGTTGGAAAGCAGCATGGCATAGTGAGTGTGGGTTTTTAAATCAATAACCTGAATTTTAACCTCATCTATTGTGATTTAGGGCAAAGAGTTCATCTTAGTTTAACCATAAAATGGGAATAATTTATTCCTCTAGGGTTTGTCAAGATGAAATAATGTGCAAATTAAGTACTCAGATGGTGATAAGTACTCACTAGATGGTTCTGAGCCTTCCGTCAGTTTACTCTTCCAGAGTACTTAATGGGACAAGGTTTCAAGGCCATTTCAGTGTAGAGGGCAGTTAGGAAATATGATAGGTGGGGCTTGATATTTGGGATTTTTAATAGAACGGATGAACCATTCAGAATTATGTATCTGCCTTTTCTGTAATTTTTCTTATTGTAGGACTTTGCTGAAGAATTAGCAACACTCTTCAACCTGTTTCTGGCTGAGCCCCAGATGCCAGAACCCCAGCTAAGAGCTTGTGAGCTGGTGCAGCCAAACCGGGGGACTGTCCTAGCCCAGAGCTAGTGTTCAAAAGTGGCCCTGCCTTGAAGTCTCACCAGAACCATGGCACTTCACCTGACTGTGCCTCAGGAGGAGGCCCAAGAGCCCAGCATCACCCCAAGTGCCCAATGCTGACTCACTCTTGCTGGTGCAGGAGTAGCTGAATCTGTAATCAGGCTTCCTGCTTACATGTGAAGTAAGTATTGGCTGCCTGGCCTCTCTTTGACTGCAGGCTCGCCACCCTGAGTCCTAGAAGGAGGAGGGTTTGCCTGATTCAGGATTATGGTGGAAAAGCCTAGAGACTCCAGTCCTGGAGCGGAAGAGTTGGCATTTATTTCTTGGATGCTAAATGAAATGATGTATGTGGGCTTGAGCCCCACTTGCTGCTATCCCAGCATCTTTAAGACTATGATTTGGGAAATCATGACAGAGCCAAATGACGTACTGCTTAACTTGTGAGTAAAGTTAAAACATGAATCTTGGGAGTCTACATTTTCTTACCACCAGGAGCTGGACTGCCATCTCTTTAAAAATGCACAACAGATGAGATGGGGCTCTCCCAACAGCAACCCAGCTCTACCCCCACACCTCCCTGCTTTAAGCCCTCTGCAGGTAACTCTTGATTCCAGCTCCAACCAGAGGCCAAGCGTGGGGCAGAACACTAGAGCTTTTTAAAATAAACTCTTCACCGAGGGCTTCATGTCTGATTCTTCCCTGTAGAAGGCTGCAAAGTCTCAAGGTGGGCTTGGAGCTGAGTGTTGATAGGGTAGAGCTAGCTGTACGAGTGGCCACCTAGCACTGCCCAGTGTTCCAGCATATGAGGAGGGCCCTACTGACTCATTGCCAACAGTACTGGCTTCTGTGCAACTCTTGAAAGGTTTAGGATAAGCTTCTACTCAACAGTACTCCCTATTAAACTAGATGGTGGCAGCTCTTAAGCTTGTTTTGTTAGCGCTGGGGAATGTGATTTGGCTTGCAACAAAAGCATTCTGCGTATCTCTAAATGATCTATTGATTTTTAACTAAGCACACACTACCTTGATAATGTGAATTAAGGTCCTGTAAAATCTGTGGGGATTCAGGCTGTTGGGGAAGAAGGTACTCAGTGAACCCTATTGAAATGACTTACAAAATCCTGTCTATTTCTTGGGAAAAGTTCTGAGATCTCTGAACCAAGGAAGGGTGAGTCTCTTGGCCTAGAGGGGTCTATTCTGTGACAGTAAAGCTGGTGAAGAGCTTTTACTCGAAGTCCCACGGAGTGTCTCTTTACCACTTTGCAATCATGCTTCTGCCCAGTCAGGCCGTACCTATGCCTTTTCCTCAGCTCATCCCAGTCACTCCTTTAAACTCAGTTTCTCCTACAGAAATTCAGGAAGTTCTCAATGCCTGAGAACCAACTTTCTGCACCCATTAGGGGTGGCTGAACAAAAGCAGTACATCAGGAAGTTGAGCCCAAAGGTAAGCAGCAGATACTTCAGACACCCAGCTCTGAGTAAGGTGGGATGGGCAGGCCAGCAGAGGGGAAAACCTGAAGGCCCAAGGATGATGGGTTAAAGGTCACTCAGTTAAACTTAGCACAGGTCCAATTTAGGAAACTTAGTGCTAGCCTTAAAGGCCTACTCTAAGCAGTAAGATTAAGAAAAGAATTACAGAGGCAGCTAATGAGCTAGTAGACTAATTAAGTTCCTTTTTATGTACAGGGTGTCCCAAAAAAATGTACACACACTTTAACAGCTCAGCTGATAGCTCAATTTTGAAAATGAATGTATTTTAATAAACACTGCCTTTATAATTATTCAGTGTACATTTTTTGGGGATGCCCTATATCTGCTCTCCCTTAATTATTAAGATTTCAAGGTGTGGTCCCCAGACCAGCAGCCTCAGGCTCACCTGGGACTTTCTAGGAATACAAATATGTAGGTCACTGAATCAGAAACTCGGGTGGGGTCCAACCTGGGGTGTAACAAATCCTTCTGGTGATTCTGATGCACAATGAAGTCTGTAAATCACTTGTCTAAACCAAAAGCTGACTTTATCATGATAGTTTAGGTCTGTGGATTATCTTTAACACTTTAGCATTTTGCTATATCAGCCTGTTAATATTTTTTAGCTTGCTGACTCACAGGCCTGGTGTGTGGTTTCTCTAGTAAGGGGTTAAGGTCACCTCTGGGCTACCCCATGCTCAATTCCCATTGCTGGCTCTGCCTCAGAAGCCCCTGAGATGCACATCTGTTAAAGAGGTACCTTCCAGGGGATTGTGGTCACTGTTAGGTGTGGTAATGACTCTTCTGGAATCCTTGCTTATGGTTGGTATTTGGGCTACAGCTGGCCCTAACTGGGCAATGAATCTGGTTGCTATTTACATGCCTTAAAGCAGTGCCATGTTCATGGAAAGCACTTAGTACATCCATGTAAACTGTGTAAGTTGAAACTGGGCCATGAGTAGTTATTGCCATCTCCAGGCTAAATTCTGAGCTCAAATGACACACTTAGGTTATCCCAGGACAGTCTTCACTAATAAAAGTACATATCAGACTTTTAATTTGCAAGTGTTCTGACAGTTCAATCAACAGTCTTGGTAAGAGATTTATATGAAAAGAGGTGGTTTTTTGGGAGTACATAAATAGGGTGTTAAATATATCAAGTGTCGCTAAAATTGAAAACCCAGAAAAATAAAAGGTTAAAGGCAACTTAAAAACCATTCAATAATATATAAATAAATAAATTTGAGGTAAGAGAAAAAAATCCTGCAAACACTTTTAGAAAAATAAATCTCTGCTGTACTCTACAGAAATTTACCTTTTTACCACATCATCTTCCCCACTCAGTCACCTGCTTCTGGGCACCAGAACTAAAGCTGGGAATCTCTTCCACATAACCATACAGAATATTCAGAAGCTCACAACCAGCCGGGCTAAAGCAAAAGAAAACTACCCGTTCTCCATCCATCCTAAATAGGTGTGGCTGCTGCAGCAGTGTAAAATGCTAACGAGACCACTGACCCAGGCTCCGAGGGCAGTAAGGAATGGAACTGAGCTTCCTCCTCACTAACCACTTACCTCTTCTAGGAGGTCTATTATGTTCTCTCCCATTGTCAAAAGGCAGTTTTTCATCTCTGAAATTCCTCTTGCCTTGTCAGCAGCCAGCATCAGGCTGCCCACTTCCTAACCACCGCATCCTCCCTTAAAGAGCTAGACCCCAAATCTGTCCAGCCAGCTTCTACAGTGAGTGGTCTTCTCATTCTACTGAGCTCTGCAGTGATGGCTCCATGACAGAGCATTGCTCAATACTCCTGACGGAGACAAAGACCCAAACGTCTTCTCCTGTAAGGAAAAGGAAGAGGGTGGAAAAGTAATAATAAAGCGTTCGGTAAAAATTCAAGGAGAAACGATTCTGAATCACTCTTCTGGTTTGTGCAGCTTTTTTTAAACCAGTTTTCTGTTTTGGTAACACTCCATCCCACAGTGAAACTGAATTCTGGAGGCCAATTTCTGAGCAGAGTTTTAGCCAATGGCTGTCTCCCTACCAGCCCAAGGGCTGGGCCACACCAGGGAAGCACTGTGACAGAGAACTGCCATCTCCCAGCTCCACTGGCTATGTCCAGTCCTGGTCCTTGAGCAGCTTGTCTGCCATAGGGTCCCAGAGACAGGAAAGAAGGGTGAAAACTCCAAGAAGATGAGTTGAGCTTCATTCGCTCTGGATGGCCAGGGTCAGGAGCTCAGGCCCCTTGCTCTGCAGAGCTGCCAGCTGTGCCCAAGTACTTACTGACTGGGCTTTGCTGGCAACTCAGGGCTGAGTGCTGTCTCCCCAGTTGGCCATGCAGGTAGCCTTGGCTCTTCTTGCATCAGGAAGAGCCTCACAGAGAGGAACAAGAGCTGCCTTAGAGTTTCTGGAGCATCCTGGGCCTGAATCTCAGCAGCACCATCTTGACAGTAAGATGCTAACTACCAAGGAAGGATGCCAGTCTGGCTATAACCAGTGGCTGCTGTTTGATGAAGGTGCTTAAGAGATGAGGGGGGAAACCTGGAGCACCAAGTTCTATCTGAAATAAAGCAGAGAGGGAAGAGTCAAAGGTAGAGACAGACCTGAGAGTGCCCCCCTCCTCCCCCCCGCCCCGGCTGTCGTGATGGGTGAAACTCCTCAGACTTTCTGCGGTCCTGGAACTTATAGACCTTGGCTCTGCTGTTCAGATCTAAGCAGCTTTACCTCCCAGAGACAAAGGTTAAGTCAGGGAACTGGGAGTAGAGTCAAATAGACTGGGTCATGCTCTCTCTCTCCTGCTGAGACTGCTGCCTTTGCCTCTCAGTAACTCCTGTATTTCCTGAGGACCCTGGGAACAGCCAGAGGAGGTAGGCTGCTGGGCTCTCTGGTAATAGTTCCCCTTTCTCATTCTTTCCTCTGTGACTCCCAGCTGACTCCCCTTACTGTGACCCAAGAAGCCCTTCAGTCTTCAGCTCTCAGGCCACAGGGCCTGGGCACTGAAGGACATGGACCAGCTAAACAAAACTCCAATGAAGCTGGGAAGCTGGCTGCACAGGGTACATCACCTGGGCCAAGTAGATGACTTTGGTGACCTCCTTTCCTTCCATGGTGAGGGGCTGCAGGATCCAGGCACTGGGCAGGATCTCCCCTCGGACCATCCACCTGCTGGGTCTTGGCATGGATGTGTCATATACAGACTGAGCTGCCATGATAGAAAGGTGCCCCTGGGGACAGACAGACAGCCATGTGAGTCCTGCCTATGTGGTGTGGATCGAACGGATGGGCTCCAGTGCGGTCAATATTGTAGAAGGCAGCACTAGGCCTGGCTTGTCACCCCCACTCCCACCCAAGTTGCTTGCCTTCCCCCAGAGGACCTGAGGCCCACAAAGATTGCTTCTCACAACACTCCAGCCCAAGTTCTTCCCATAATATCTTTACCACCAGCAAGGCAGGTACCTCTTTGGCTTCCGCGCAGATACAACAAAAATCCCGGGGCTGCTTCAGTGCACACAGGGCTGGATTGCATACCAAGTACACTGGAGGGTCAGGGATGGGGAGAGTCAGCAGGTGCGTAGACAGACCCAGTCCTAAATCCTTCCCAGTCCAGCCTCCCCACCCCCCCAAGACCCCATCATCCCACAGCCCAACATCCAGCCTGAGCAATCTGGAGGTAGTCAGTACCCAGCCTCCCGACCTGCTACCTATCCCCTGGTAGAGCCCACAGAAGCCTCCCTAGACTTACCCAGGTTGATGCTGTTGGTCACTCGCTGATGCAGTTTTGCTGTCTGGATGGGCTTGTGGTACAGGGGCCACAGGGTGGGGTCACTCACAGCTGCCCACACATGAGACAGCGGCTGGGACACCACCCCAGCCCCCAGGAAGCCGTGCCGAGTAGAGGAGAACACCTTGTAGTAGAGCTGCACCTCCTGCTCCTCACCCTGATACCTGGAATGCCATGGTTGAGGAGGAGGAGGTGAAACGCGTTCCAGGGTCACAAAGGAGGAGCTTAGGATGGAGAAGGGAAAGGAGGGAGGCGCGAGGCAGAACAGGATTAGGACAAGACACTACAAAGGAACTTACTTCCAGCCAGCTGCTGCCTGGCGACTAAAAAGATTGTGCAGATCATTTGAGCAAGCAGCCATTACCTAGGGACACAGCAACCACACCCGAATTAGTGGGTATGGTATAAACCAGGCCCTTGGGTTGGTCACTCAGGCCAGCATTTACTGAAATCCCCTTTTGTCAAGGTAGAAAGCCACTGAAGAAGCCACATCAGCCCTGCTGACCCTCCACCCTGATCTTTCCCTCCCTTCTCTTTCCCAGCTGAGCACTGTTCAAGAAACGGTGGGGAACAGGTGGAACAGTTCCTCACGTCAGCCATACAGATGTCCACAATGTGCTTGGCCAAATCCTGATAGGAGGAAGAGAAGCAGGTCCCCTGGCTGGACACACTGGATGAAGAACAGCAACAACTGCCCAGAGAGGCTCTGCGACCTACAATGAAGAGGTGGAGGCTCTGAGGCAGCATGAGCACCAGGGCCTTGGGCAGCAGCAGCAGCTTCTGAGGGATATTAACTCCCTGGATCTAGCAGACCTCAGCCTCCAAAGTTCCCAAACCAGGCAGGTGGCTATGCCCCCACCACTCACTGTAGATGCAGCTCTTCCAGGCAGACCCAGCCAGATTCAGGTGACTGTTCCTCACTGCAGAACAGCCCTGCACATCCCCGATCCAAGAGTCTCCAGAATCAGGCAAATTTGTGTCCCCCTGCAGAAGAGAAGATGCTCAAGACTAGAACAAAGGGAGAGAGAGAGCAGGCCACCAAAAAGCCAGTGCAGAATTATCTCCTCTGCCTCTGAAATACACCAACAGCTTCCAACATAAAGACTGAGTGAAAAAGATCTTCCCTATCGCGATTACAGGAGGCCAGGTGCTCCAGGAGGTCAACAGCAATACAAACCAGTCCCTGGACAACCTCTCCTTGCTCTGAGCCACAGGCTCAAAAGTTGCTTGTAGGGAAGTTCCACAGGGATCAGAATGAACTGGGGCCTGAAAGCACTGGGTACCAGGGGTCAGTGGGCGGGGGACCTCTGCACTACTCTGCAACAGGAATGAGGTTATGGCTGGAGCTAGACCCTTGGCCCGAGCCCCAGGTACAGCAGTTTAGCCAAAAGTCCTAATTTGGAACCAGATGGACCTAATCCTCTGGATCTGCAATACAGTCATCACACCTTTAACTTCAGCCAGTTCCTCAATGACATGACCCTTGACCTCTGCTGGGTCTACAGGCACCCATCATACTAGCTATCATCAGTTTTTAACCTAGCGCTACTTTAAAGACAAGAAGAGGTGAACAAGCAGTTATCTCCTCACCTCCTTTTCTTCTGCAAAATACAAGTGGCCTCTCCAACTTTAGGCAAATTGAGATCTCAGTTCCCCTTCTTAGGAACATTTCACTACTGATACCTTTCTTCACTTGTTGCCTCCACCTCTCCCTCTTCACTAGATTCTTCCTATTTATTAGCATTTAAGCATGCAAATAGTCTCCCACCTTTAAAAACCTTTCTCTATAGGCATCTCTGCCCCCCTGACCTTCACAGATACATTTCTTGAAAGGATTGTCACTGTTTGCCATCTCCCACCTCTCACTCCTTTCTGAACCCACTCAAATCTAGCCTTTGCCTCCCTGCTCCACCACGCAGTAATCGCCAAGGTCCCAATGGCTGGATCTAGTGAACAACTCAGTCCTCACTTACTGAGCCTCTCAGCTCACTTCCACTCAGCCAGCCTCTCCCTTTCACTTGAGATGCTCACCTCCCAAGTCCCCAGGCTTCTGATCTCTCTGGTGCTTCTTCCCATTTCCCTTGTTGGCTCATTCCCCTCAAGGGTTTTTTCAAGACTCAAGCCCAGGCCCTCTTTTCTCACTCTATAATATACTCCTAGGTGATCCTACCTGTTCTCAGGGCTACATTAATGACTTCCAAAAATATATCTGTGAATTAATAAATATTGCTGAGTCAATGGAGTCATCACCTAAAAAAAGTTACATCAGAGACCCATTTTCTACATCATGCCAAAATTCTTTATGCTTTTGGCTGAAAAATATAAGGGGTGGGGGAAAATTTAATATTATGATAAAATAAAAATTTTTAAATCTCATAGTGGGCAAATACCTTCCTAAACAGGGCACAAAATCCAGAAGCCATGAAAGAAAAGATGGATAAAAACTAGACAACATAAAATTAAAATTTTTTATATAGTAATAACTATAAAGAAACTAAACACATACAACTAGGAGAAAACACTGGCCTCTCAAATGACAAAAAAGGATAAATTTCTTACTATAAAGAAGGGCTTCCAAATACAAAAGGACAACCAAACAGAGATGGGCACAGAGCAAAAAGACCAAAGGGCTTTTAAACATCTGAAAAGACACTTGGTCTCAGACACAAGAAGAGAACTGCAAATTAAAACTGAAATGAAACACTATTTATGCCTATCAGATTGGCAGACTGAAGAAAAAAAATCCCTTGATAGCATTCTGTTAAGCGGAGAGTGAGTAAATAGGTACTGTTACATATTGTTATTTAAGAGTGTAAATTGGCATATTCTGTATTTGAACTAGAGAACCTAGAAAATCCAGTGCCCTTGAGTCTTTCTTGAGAAAATTACGAAAGGAAGAATTACTAGTAGGATGGAAAGAGGAATGCATGGCAAAGAGCTGGAAGTGAGCAGAGTCCACTTAATCTAGCACAAGAACTAAAACTTTGAATGCAAACATCATAAACAGTGCAAATACTATAACAAAAGGTAAAGAGAAAAAGAGGAAAGAAAGTGGAAATACATTGATGTCCTCATGTTTTGTAGGCAGAGTGAAAAGAAAACTGCTAAACCAAGAAATAAAGACCATTTAAAGATATAAAAATGATCATGAAAAGAATATTAAAAATTAGACTTCCTAATGATAAAACACATATACACCTCTAAAGCTGAGAAAAAAGACCACATAATGAGGATAAGTCAACAAAAATAATTTTTAGATGTCCATGGTATATTTATGACCAAAAAAACCCTCAATAAATATAAAAAAATAGAAACCACACTTTCTCTGAAATCATACATTCTCTCAATACATAGCAAATAAACTAAAAATAAAATCAGAAAAAAGGGCCTTTCTGCCAAAAAGTTTTTTCAAAATTCTTTAACATTGGATCAAGGGTGAAATACAAACTGAAATTGCAAAATTACTACAAAACAAAGATAATAAAAATATATATCACAACTTATGGGATACAACTAAAGCAGTGCTCAGAGGCAAATTTTAAACTTTAAATATTTACATCAATGAAAAATAAAAATAAATTACTACTATAAACAACTATATGCCAACCAATTAGATAACTTAGATGAAATGGACAAATTCCTAGAAAGACAAAACTACTAAAATTGACTCGAAAAAACAGAAAATCTGAATAGACAAAGATACTAAATTAGTAGTAAAAAAATTCGCACAAAGAAAATTTCAAGATGAGATAGCTTCACTAGTGAAATCAAACATTTAAAGAAAACTTAACACCAATCCTTCACAGTTCTTCCAGAAAATAAAAGGAAATACTTCCCAACTTATTTTATGAGGCCAAATTACCCCGATATAAAAACAACACAAGTAAACTACAGACCCATACCCTGTATGCATACAGACACAAAAATCCTCAAAAAAAATACCAGTAAAATGAATCTAGCAGCACATGAGGATTACACACTATGAGTAAGTGGGACTTATCCCAGGAATACAAGGTTAGTTCAATATAAAAATCAATCAATGTAATACACCATAGTAATAAAGAATTCCACATTATCATCTCAATAGATGCAGAAAAAGTATTTAACTATATCCAACACCTTTTCATGATTTACTAAATAAGCTAGGACTAGAAGGAGATTTCCTCAACCTGATAAAGATTATCTACGAAAGATTAGTTAGCATACTTTATGGTAAAATGCTGGATGGTTTTCTTCTAAGAACAATAACAAGAATGTCTGCTCTTATTTTTATTTAACACTGACTAGAGATTCTAGCCAGGGCAATTAGGCAAGAAAACAACAAAGGCAGATGATATGATTTTGTATATGAAATATCCTAAGATGCTAGTCAAGTTTGTCTCAGTGGTTAGAGTGTCAGCCTGCAGACTGAAGGGTCCCAGGTTCAATTCTGGGCAGGGTCCATCACTGGATCCGGTTGGGGGTTAGTGCGGGAGGCAACCAATTGATGTGTGTCTCTCACATCGATATTTCTCTCTCTCTCCCTCCCATTCTCTCTGAAAAGCAATGGAAAAGAAATATCCTGAGGAATTGACTAAAAAACTATTAGAACTAATAAATGAGTTCAGTAAGGGTACAGGAAACAAGATTAATATAAAAAAATCAACTGTATTTCTGTATAGCATCAATTAGCAAACCAAAAATAAAATTAAGGAAAAAAGTCCATTTATAATAACATAAAAGAAAGAAAAGCCCAGCTGGCATGTTTCAGAGGTTGAGTGTCGACTTATGAATCAGGAGGTCACAGTTTGATTCCCAGTCAGGGTATGCATCCTCTGACCTAATGTAGTGAAAATAAGGCATTGCATGGGGCATATATTTGTTGTTTATCTCAAATTCTTATTTAACTGGGATCCTGTATTCCTCTTTGCTTTACCTGGCAACCCCAACATCACTTCTGTGGTATTCTTGCCAAAAATGCAAAACCTCAATCTAATCATGAGAAAACAGAAGGCAGACAAATTCGACAAAATTACCATGAGACAAGGAGAGACTGAGAAATTATCACAGGAAAAAAGAATAATAATAGAACAGAAATTAACAAGTTAGAATCAAAACGGACTCCAGAGAGATGGAAAACCTAAACCAGGAGTTGACAAATTTTTTCTGTTAAGGGGTAGGGCAGAAGTATTTAAGGCTTTGGGGACCATTGGAATAGTTGCAAATATTCTTCTCTGCCACTGTAACATAAAACCAACCATAGACAACACATAAACAAATGGGTGAGGCTATATCCAGTAAAACGTTATTTACAAAAGCAAGCAGTGGGCCAGATCTGGCCAAAGGGCCATAGTTTGCCAACCTCTACTCTTAACAGACCACTTTCCATAGAAGAGACTTTTCAAAACATTAATCCCCCCAAATACCAGGCCTTGTTAGTTTTACAGTATAACTATACCAAGTTTTAAAAGATTTTCATTCTAAAAATCTTTTCACTGCCCGGCCGGGCGTGGTTCAGCAGCTGAACATGGACCTAGGATCCAGGAGATCACAGCTCGATTCCCGGTCAGAGCACATGCCTGGGTTTTAGGCTCGATCCCCAGCAGGGGGTGTGCAGGAGGCAGCCGATCAATGACTCTCTCATCATTGATGTTTCTGTCTCTCTCTCTCTCTCTCTCTGAAATCAATAAAGATGTATTTAAAACAACAGCAACAAAAATAAATAAAAATAAAAAGATAAAAATGTTTTCACCTTTCATTCCCATTTCCCTCTCCCATCTACCTTAAATCATTCTGAGTGTTTGGGGGTATATCTTTTTGTTTGTATGTATTCTTGCAAAAAGGACTGTTTTGGATATATGTAGTTTTAATTTATACAAATAGTGTTATGCCTATTTCAGACTGTTTTCATTCAATACTCTGCCTAGGAGTCCACCTAATCTGTTGACTAACTCTTACATAGTAGTCCATCTGTGCATCAACCATGTTTTACCTATCCTCTCAATAATGGATTTGCTAATGGCTTCTAACTCTCTGCCACTTCAAATAATACTTTAATAAACAATTCCATACATGTTCCCTCATAAACTCTGCTAGCAATGCTGGGTCATAACCCTATAAGGGTTCCTATATCCCCAAAGTCCTGCCAACATCTGGCATCATTCAGCTTTCTAATTTTTGACAATTTAATAGGTATAAGGTTTCCATTACTTTTGTAACTACAGTATTCCTAAACACTAAGAAAAAAACTTTCACCCTTTTTACTATAAAAGGAATATAATATTGATACCAAAACCTGAGATATATTGTAAAACCAAAACTACAGAAAAACTCATAGATATTGAAGCAAAATCCTGAATATTAGCAAGTAAACTGACAATACATTAAAATAATACATGATATGCTTAAGTATATAATGTATTTGTATTACAGGACTAATTCCAGGACTATAAGAATGGTTCAATATTAGCCCCCAAATCAGTCAATCAAATGATCATCTCCAAAGACTCTGAAATAACTATTCTGGAAAAGAATACTCTATAAAATAGGAATAGATGGATACTTCCTTAGTATTACAAAATATTATCTATCTTAGCTCAAAAGTTAGTGTCTAACTTAAATGGAGAAACACTAGAAGCATTCCCAATAAATCCTGGAATTAAGGCAAGGATGTTCACTGTCATCACTATTCTTTTATTTATGCTTAGGCTACTAGGTAATTCAATTAGAAAAGAGGAATAAATAGTGGCACAAAAACTGGAAAGGAAATGGTAAAAACATTCACTATTTGCAGGTGATGTGATTGTACACCTAAAAAATCTCAAGCAGGACTGTACAATATGGTAGCCAGGAGCAACATGTGGTTATGGAGCATGTGAGATGTGGCTAGTGTGACTTAAGAACAAAAATTTTAAACTTAATTTTAATTAATTTAAATTAAGAGAGCCACCTGTGTTAGTGGCTACTGCAATAGTGCAGATCTAGAGAATCAACCAAAAATAATATGGACACAAAATTAATACACAGCAATCAACAGCTTTCAAACATATAAAATAACCAGATAGAATATATAAAGGAAGAGAAAACCTGTTTACAACATTAATAAGAAAGTTAAAACAGTTAATAATAAATCAGACAAGAAATTTGAGAGATATATGAAGGAAACTTAAACATAAAAAGGTTTGAACCTACTATGTTCTTAGTTAGGAAATTCCACAGCATAAAATGTGATTTCTCCCTAAGTCGATTCATAAGTTGAACATGATCTTATTAAAAATACTAACAAATTTCTATCATTAAACTAGACAAGCTGATCCTAAATTTTATATAAAAATAAATAAGAATATTTTTTAAAATTTCAAAAAAGAAGGGCAATGGGTAGTAGAATATACTATAAGCCTTAGTACAAGAAAAGTGGACGTCTTAATCTGGTGAGGCAAAGATGAGCTGTCTAGATGAACTATCTAACAAGCATCACAGGCACAACTGAATAGCCACCTGAAAAGAATAAAGTTGGATCCACACCTCATACTACATATACCTCCAAATGGATCAAAGACTTAAATATGAGAAATTCTTTATAGCTTCAGAATGGAGAATGTGTTTCTAATTATGATTTAGAACATGGACACGATAAAAGGAAAACTGATAAATAGAAAGTCTTGAATGGCTCCAAACAGTAAGTAAAGTCAAGAGAGAATGCAGAACTGGGGAAAAACATTTGTAATTCATATCAGGCAAACGGCTATCTTGCTACTATATAAAGAACTCCCAGTAACTGGTAAGGGGGAAAAAAAAAAAAGAAAAATGAGCAAAGGGTATGAACAGATGACTCAGCAACAGTCCAAACATTTCATATGTTTGCAAGAGTGTGGGAGGAAGGTAGACTCTCACCTGTTGCTGGTGGGAGTAAAAATCAGTATATCTGTGAGGGAAAATCTGTCAGTGTCTATCAAATTTCCAAATTCATATACTTGTAGAACAAGTCCACATCTGGGAATTTATCTGCAGATATATTTGCGCACGTAAGAAATGATATATGCACAAAGCTATTCACTGCAGCATTGTTAATAACAGCAAAAACCTGAAAACAACCCAAGGTAGAGGATTAGTCAAGTAAACTACAGTGCATCCCTACAATGGAATGCTACGAAGCAATCAAAAAGAAAAAGAGAAAGTTTTTTACATTGTCATGTAGATATACTGATTGGAAAAAAATATAAAGTACAGAACAGTGCCATAATATGCTTTATTTTGTATGCGTAAAGACACTTTATCTAGGATGATTCCCACCCCCCAAAAAAATCACCAGTTTTCTTGGATGGGGTAAGGGATTTGGACTAGGTAGATGGGAAACAGGATGAGTACTTCCCTATATACCCTTACCTATATATATATTTTTTGCCTTTTCTATTTCATATTATCTATACAAACATCACATTTAAGAACATGCAATTAAAGAGAAAAAAGAAACACTATTCAACTGTTAAAAAGAACGAGTCAGCCCTAGATTTACTGATACTCAATATCTAAAAAATGTTTTAAGGAGAAAAAAGCAAAGGAACAAACTGGGTACCGTATGCTTCCGTTCATGTGCTTTATGAAAAGATATAGCCTTATAGATGCACAGACTATCTCTGAAAGTATATACCAAACAGGGATGAATGGCTGCTTCTGGGGAGGGCAAATGGGCAACTGAAATATGCAATTGACGTGTGTACTTTGCTACTGTTTGAAAACTATATATTTTTTACTATGTGAAGTTTTTCTTTATAAAATGAATTTCAAATTTTATATCCCCAGCCAGATCTCACCTCTGAGCTCCAGATCTGTATTCCAACAGCCCCCTGCATCTCTCACAGGCACTTTCAACCCAGTAAACACAAAACTAAACTCATGATCTTCACCACAAAACCTGTGCACGTCCAGGGCTCCTGTCACTGTCTACAAGATCATCCTTTCAGTTGCTCAAACCCAAAGCATGCATTGTTCTCAACTCCTCCCTCTCCCTTCCTCCACCGAGCCCTGTGGATGCTTTCTCTCCTTTGCATCCACACCTGTTCCTTCACCAGCAGTACCCTAAACCAAACAATCATCATCTCTCACTCAGCTCTGCTATGGTCAATAGCAGGTCTACCAGAGCTGCTCTCGCCCCCTTCTCACAATCTCATCATTCTACTCCCTACTTAAAGGCTTTTCTGCAGCTTTGGGGAAGTAATATAATCAGATGAATTAGAAAGGGCCCAGAATTCTCAATAGAGTCTACATGATCTTGCCTTTTTCTGGTCCATTTTCATGGCATTCTCCCATTTCACTCTTCACATTCCAGCCACACAAGTCTTTTAGTTCCTCAAACCCTTCCTCCCTCAGAGCCTTCCTTGCTGGGTCCTCTGGAAGGCCGTCCTCTGGCCACCACATCTCTCTGGACACCACCAGCCTAGGCTTTTACTGTGCTCTCACCCTTACAGTCTCATAGCATCTTTACCAAGCTTCCAGACTAGGTCAGGTCTCCCGTTTTACACTGGTTTAGCATCCCTTATTTATCTATATAACAATAATTAAATAATTTTAAAATAACCTCTTTTATGTTTATCCTTCTAATAGTCTAAGGACAAGAATAGTTTTGCTCACTGCTGTACCCCAAATGCCTAAAACAACACCTCCAAAATAAACATTTGTTGAATGAACAGAGAGAGAAAGAACTAGAGGAAAGGTCAAAGGCCACTGTCCATCAGATGTCAGCAGTGGCCTCCAGGAGGCAGAACTTCCTGCCTAAACTCTTGCCCTAGCAGTCCTGGCCCCCAGCTCATACCAATCATCTGCCTACTCACCACACTGCTTGAGGACTGGAGCTGGCCTGACAAGGCCGGGCTGCTGTTGTAGCCAGAGGTGACACCAGAGGAGAGGCTCCCATTGGAGCTGGTGCATAGGGGGCTGGAGGTAACCAGGGTGTGTAGTTTTTCCTCTTCCTGGGAAGGACAGATCACCATCAACCAGCTTCCGGTGCACCCTCACTACCCATGACCCACAGCTCTGGATCCACCCCTTCTCACCTCCCCAGATCCCATCACTCCCAGTGCCTCCTGCCTCAGCCTCACACCTCCCCACCCCAACTATATACCAAGACAAGGCTTCTCCCAGACTCTGGCCCAGTGACAGGAGCTGGTCTGATGAGGATGCCATGCAGAGAGTGAGCACAGCTTTGACCTGGTACCAGGGGTCTAATGCTCTCCTCCAAATGCTACATCCCATGACTGAGGCAGCCCCAGTGAAGACTGACCCAGTCTGAGGTCTGCCTCCAGGCTCCAGGCCCACCCTGAAATCAGAGGCTGGCCCTGTTCCCCACCTTCAGCAGCTGGGAGATGATCTGCTGGCGGATTCTCTGCCTCTCCTGTTCAGTTCGCTCCCGCAGTCGGGCCCGGGCCCGGGCCATCTCCACCTTGGCCACCTCACGAGCCCGCTGGTATTCTCGTAGCATCAGCTCTATGTCAGAGGGTGGGTGAGCAGACCTCGATGCCGACCCTGGGCTCCTGGGAAGGACCACAGGGGCAGAGAGGTGCCTTCTAACATGGTGGCTTTGGCCCTGGCCTATTCAACACTTATTTCTTACTTTAAATAATTTTTTACTTTTCAATTATACTTCACGTACATATTAGTTCCACGTATACAATTCACTGATTAGACATTTGACATTTATATACTGTACAAAGTGGTCACCTCCATAAGTCTAGTACCCATCTTATACATTAGTTATCACAATATTATTGACTATATTCTCTAAACTGTACTTTACATCTCCCTATTTTGTACTTCTTAATCCCTTCATCTTTTCACCCATTCCTCCAACCCCTTCCCCTCTGACGACCGTCAAAATGTTCTTTAGATCTACAAGTTTATTTCTATTCTGCTTGTTCGTTCATTTTTTAGGTTCCACATATAAGTGAAATCATATGGCATTTGTCTTCCTCTGTCTTATTTCACTTAGCATAATACTCTCTAGGTCCATCCATGTTGCAGATGGCAAGATTTAATTCTTTTTTATGGCTGAGTCATATTCTATTGCATATATGTACCACTTTTTCTTTATCCATTTATCTACTGATGGACGCTTAGGTTGCTTTTATATCTTGGCTATTGTAAATGCTGCTGCAATGAACAGAGGGGTGCATTTTGTCTTTTTTATTTAGTGTTTTGGGTTTCTTCAGATAAATGCCCAGAAGTAGAGCCGCTGGGTCCTTCTTTGACTCTTATTATAGCCTTTGTTTTAAAGTCTATTTTGTCTGGTATAGGTATTGCTACCCCAGTATTTCATGAATACCTTTTTCCACCACTTTACTTTCTGTGCAACACCACTTTTGAATGACCCATCCTCTCTTTGCCTACAGGGTCTTAAGTTTGGTTTTGTATTTCATTCGGAGGCGCTGACCTGCAGTCTCAGTGTGCCATAGCTTCTCTGTTCATTCTCTCCCAGGACTTTTTGCCCACACCACCCTCCCCCCTGCTCCTTCTCACATCCTCTTTGTTCCCTTTGTCTCACTCTCCTGCAGCCACCTCCACTTGTCCACAGGTAGAGAAGACCCACTCCTGGAATTGCTCAGCTTCTAGTCTCCAGGATGCTGAAATTCAGACCCTGCTCCCCACAACCCTCTCACCCCCACCCCCACCCCGAGCCTACTCACTGCAGGGTTCTGGGTCTACCCCTACCTGGTTGTCTCTACAACATCCTTCCTCAGTTGCTGCAGATATTCTCGGCGCCTGCTGGGTAAGTCAAGGTCACGGGTGGGGAGATCCCTGTTAGGCAGGAGACTCAGCTGCTTCTGGGGGCTGAGGCTTCGTGTCCGGCGGAAGGTCTGAAGTCGCTCAGCCCGCTGTCTCCGGAGGGACTCAATGGTTTGTTTTTGCCTGAGATAAAACATGATTGATTCACTGAAACTGGCCACAAACACCCTTCTCCATCTTATGATCTCGCTCTGATCCCTGGAATATCCCAGAACTTAGCAAGAGGAGAGAGAACAGTCAGCTGGTAGCCTTCTCCAATTCTCTTTCCTCCTAAGCCACCCTTGCTCTCCCACTCCAGGCTGGGGGCCTTACCGCGCATGGAGCTCCTCCCAGGTGGACAGCACAGGTTCATCAGCAGTGAGCGCTTCCCCCATCCCACTCTGCAGCACCTGGAGCAGGGCATCTGACTTCCCAAAGCCGTGGTGTAATTTTGCTTCTGTGAGTTCCGTGCTGAGAGAGAGGTTCTGAGCCCCAACTTGCAGGGGGATCGGCTTTCTCTGGGAGCACTCAGGATCCTGGCTCTGGTTATCAAGAGGTTGTGAGGGATGCTGTCCCTGCTCTCCAAAGCTGAGATCATGTCTGGATCTCAGCAACCTCATCACTCCTAGCTCCCCAGGAGAGCCATCCTGAACCCCACACCAACTATTAAATTTGTTATGCACTGGGAGGTCCCTCAGGCTGTGATGCTGGGGCTCAGGGGCCATGCACATCTGGGAACTGGAGCGCAGCAGCCCCTGAGGTTGGCAGGCCTCAGCTGAGCCCAAGGTAGAACCCTGGAGCCTTGTCTTATCAGTCAACCCAGGGACAGGGCAGGGGCTGAGGTCCTGCAGGCCTCCCCATGAAGAGCGATTGTCTAGAGTGGGTTGTAGCTCCACTGGAGATGCTGAACTCTTACCCCCATTTTCTGTCCTGCTCTGCCATTTATTTGCCCCCCTACTGCTAAGTGGGCGACACTGCAGGGAAGCCATGTCCTCAGGGACAAAGCCCTCAGCCAGCCTCTGACTCCTGTTCCTCAGTGGTAGAGGCAGCAGTCTGCTCTGGACCCAGGCGGTGTTTCGGGGCTGAAACTGCTGAAGGGACTGCTCTAAGAAATGAACTTGGATTTCTGAGCTGTGCTGTGGGCTGCCTTGGGAACTCACCTCAAGGACGGACCTGTCCTCATTCCTTTCTAAGGAACTTCTGCCTTCTTCACACAGAGCCTGCACTCTCTTGGAGCTACCTGGCTCATCAATGGTTTGAAAATAATTATCCATTGGAGGCCTGGAGGAGTTGAGGGGAAGGTCCAGGCTGGAGACAAGCTTCTGGTGGCCTTCAAGAGGTTGCACTAAAGGGGCTGAGAGAGACAAAGAGCCTAGGGGGAGCCCTGACCCTTGAGTGCTAGCACTAAGGGTGAGGATTGGGGAGGAGGCCCTGTCCACCAACAAGGCACTCGTGGAGCACACCTCCTTTGGGACCCTAGGCTCCCTGACAGACTCTGCAGCATTGGGGCAGGGTCCTGGAGAGTGAGAGATGCTAAGGCTGGGGCTGCTGACAGCCAGGCAAGAGGGTTCCTCTGGCTGGGAGCCAGGAGGCAGGGAAGCATCAGGAAAAGCCTGGGGGCTCAAAGAAGGGAGGTTCTGTCCAGGCGGGGACTTCTGAAGCCTCAAATGAGATGAGGGTACTGGAGGGCTCTGCGGCCTGCAGTGGGTGCTTTCTTCTTGAAGATCTGGGGGTTGTGCTGGTTTCCATGCTGTTTCCTCTGCCTCTCTTTTTTGAACTGTCCCCGGGACATGTCCTTTTTCTTGAGACATGGTGGAGATATCTGAGCCCAGCACTTCAAGGCCCACATTGACCTCCTGAGGACTGGCTTCTGGGGCCTGGAGGTGTGGAGGTGGTGAGGCCAGGTCAGTCTGGATGCCCTCATCTATGGTGGTCTGAGTACAACCGTCCATCATAATGGTCCGGGGTGTCTCACCTGGGGTCTCCCTCTTGGTGTTTCGCTGCTTTTCAGACACACCTGGCTGGGAAAGACTCCCCAACAGCTCTGAAGTACTGTGCAGAAGCTGCGAGAGGTAGAGAGACAGATTATGCATGCTGGCCCAGGAGGCCAGATCAGAGACTGGCATTGCACTAGCTTCCGAATGAGCAGAGATGTTGGTGTGGCTCCAGTGGAGCCTGCAGCCCAGGGTCTGTGTGCCCTGCTCCAAGGTGTTCATCCTAGACTGTCCCACAGGGCTGCCTGCCTCTGATGGATACAGCAGCATAATCTCATCCACTGGACCTGCAGCACTTCCTTCAGCCCAGGGGGGCTCACTCCTCATACAGCCTGCTTCATCAGGGGTACCTGGGAACTGGGCTCTCTTTTCAGGACCCTTAGTGGGGGATGTTCCTTCAGGGCCTATCAGGACGTGGTGGTTCCCCAAGGCAACTGAGGAATCCCATACTTCCCAGGCCTCCTGTGAACCTCGAGTATTTTCAATGCTGCTATGTTGGCTTGCCAGGCCCTGGGCATTGGTGTAGGTACTGAGGTGGGAGTGGAATGGGGTGTTCCGGTCCTCTAGGCCATTGTCCATGCTGGAGCACCAAGCTATTTTTGATGGTACCAGGCCCTGGGATGTCTGGCTATAGGAGACATCGACTGCACTACCAAACACACATTGCTTCCAGCCAATGGGCGGAGGACCCTCTGGAGGGCAGGGCGGAACATAGGGATTGACGTCACTGGAGCCAAAGTGCAGTGCTCCTTTGTCCGCCTGAGAAAACCACTTCTCTGACTGGGCCGGGCCATCCAGGCTCTCTGGCTTTCCCTGCTGGGCCTGTTTCACTGCATCAGACATCCAATGGGTCGTGAAATTGGGGGTTGGCATGCATGAGGGAGTTGAAGGCGTTGGGTAAGGAGGGCTAGCAGGTTGAAGGAGCCTGTGATAAGTAGAACTACTGTTCAGGTTAGATGAGGCTTTCTGATGGTAGCTCTCAGCTTCTGGAGATGTTTCCACTGCTGGCTTTTCTGAGGAGTGGCCCCTAGGATGTCGGTTCCACAATTTGTTATGCTCCTGTGTCTCTTCATCTGTGGGGGAAGGAGGTTCTACACTCAAGTTCAGTTCCCGAAGAGATCGGGAAGAGCTGACTACTGAGAACTGTGGTCTGGGGGTGAACCTGGAGTGACTGGGGCCAGAGAAGATTGCAATCACAGGAAGTGAGCGCCTGTGGTGGGGAGCCGGTTGCTCCCTTCCAGAATAGGGGTGGCCAGGGCTCTGGGCCACAGGCCCCATAGGGTTGCTGGCTGAGTCTTGAAAGCCTGATGAGTACATCTTGGACACAGGGGCCTTGGCCGCAGCCCCCTCCTCTCTGCCTGCATCTCTCATCTGACAACCATCCAAACCACCTTCATCGGAATGTGGGGGACGCATGCCCTGGTCAGGGTCTTCGCCATCACCTGAAGTCTGCTCTCTCTGCTGCTTCTCCTCCTTCCAGGGACTGCTAACCTGGGGACTGGAGACGTGCTTTAACTTCGCTGCGAATTTGGCTTGGGGATCCAAGTCACTGTGATCTCTGGACTCAGTGGAAAGTTGTGGCTTTTCTGGAAGGCATCTTACGGCATTTTCTAAACATCCATGCTGTGGTTCCACCAGCAGCTCATTCTCAACAGACCCTTCACTTAAACGCAGGATGTGTTGTCTCCTGGTTGTTGCAGGTAGTTCTGGCTGTGCATTCTGGCCACCTACTGAGCTGTCCTGAAACTTCCTCACTGGCTCAGAGCACACACCTTTAGGAAAAGGGGCAGCCTCAAGCTCTGAGCTGGCTTTCTTCTCAGCAACCTGTTCCTCGGGATCCCCTACAGCAACTGAGTGGCTGACGGAACTGGTCGTCATATCAGGGGCAGAAGGGGAGCTGCATCTTTGAGCCAGAGACAGGACAGCAGCAGTGGCAGAGGGTTCTAGTGTGCTACTGTCTGTTGGTCCAAATTTCACATAAATGCCTTTGGGCTCAAGGCCATGCACCAAGAAAGTATCAGAGTCACTGGAATAGCTCTCTCCTCTCTCATCCATTCCACAGACCCTGCAAAATACTTTGCAGATTGGGTGGAGAGTTTGTGGGGCAGCCTTAGAAGTCCTCTTCCCCAGGTCACCATCTCTGTGACACAGTAAAGTGGGGGAAGGGGAGGAGCAGGCATGAGAAGCAATGGGTTGAGGGTTGCACAGTTGTTGACAAGGAAGAGTTCTGCTGTCTTCTTGTCCCCCAGATGGGCTGAGTGTCCTTCTGCCTTCAATGCTCCCTGAGAAGACAACACAGTCAAAAGTTTCCTGTGGACATCTGCACAGAGCCTCTTCCCTATCTTCCCCAGGATCTGGACTAGGTCTCTTATCTGGCAATGGAGTTGGCCCGAGAAGTTTGCTGCCTGCCCTGCAGGCTTCTGCCAACCCAGAACCAACATCCCCCTTCACACTCTGCTGTGAGGGGGCTTCCAGTTCAATTCTTCTCAGGGATCCAGGCAGGACAGCATCTTGTTTGGGACTTTCCCTTCCTTCTTCTAAGCCATTGGAAGCCTGGAGGTCCTGGACACAGTCTTGGTTAGGCCCTAAGAGACTGGCAGAATTCTGAACATCACAGATCACAAGCTGATTTTCAAAATAGGTTGTTTTTCCTCCCTGTGCAGCCACTATGAAGTTACCTGACCCTCCTCCATATGTGGTGTCTAGAGTTCTAGGTTCTTGTTGTGCCTGGCTGCTCTCTTGACTGCCAGGGGGCATGCCCTCTGCCATCTCCCAGGGAACTAACTGGATTTGCCGACTCACTCCAGGATCGTCAGAAGGGTCCTGAGAAGATAAGGCACCCACTACTTTCTCTATTACCCTTCCGTCCTCCTCTATAGCTACTGAAGGAAGACTGTCCAAGCCTACATGATCAGCAGAAGTTACTCTAAATGCTTCTTTCTTTTTCTCTATGATTTCAAAAGGACCAGAGTAACAAATAAACTGCTCATCTGCTCTCAGGAAATGTCTCAGTTCTCCAGAATAATGGCTTTTGCCTAGAGCAGGGTCAGCATGGGAGGAAGTCTGTGAGGGCTGCCATGACCCTTTAACTTCAGTGTTGGGCAAAGGCTGAAAGCTGTCTGCAGAGAGGGATATGGTCTTAAGGACATTCCTCTTATCAGTCCACACATGTCCTAGTTCAGCAGAGGGAGATGCCACATAAAGTCCCTGTGCTTCACCCATATTCCCAGTCCTGTCTGACACTGGCTGGTCCATTTGTTGACACTGAGGTCTGCCAGGGGCCCTTGAAGAACATTCAGGTTCTAATAAAGTCTCATAGTAAGGAAGGACTGTGCCCTCAGCCACCAAGTCATGAAGCTGCTTTCCGTGGGCCTTTGTCTCTCTGATTTCCTCCAACACAGCCAGGCCCGTGGATGTATGGGCAGAGGGTTCCAGGTGTGGCTCCAGGGGCATAGGTGCTGAGAAAGTAGCCATGGTAGGACATAGGTCCTCAGCCTCCTTCTTTGCCTTCTGCCCTACCTCCCTGCCTTGGTCATTACCCTCTTCTAAGGGACAGCTGGCACTCTTTTCAAGCGGGTTAGAGACCATGTTCAGGGAGCTGGCTCTTTCTGTTCCTTTCTGTACAGCTGCCTCGGCTTCAGAAGCAGAACCCACCCTGGTACTCAAGCCCATCGAGGTGTTTCTGGGACCCCCTCCTTGGTCTTGGGGGCTGGTGCTTGCTGATCTCCTGCCCTCAGACCCCTGAGGAATGGTCTCTGGTGCACTGGATTGATCCCGAGATCCCATAGCCATGAAGATCGCAGACCCACACCAAGCAGTGTGTGGCATGGAGGAGCCCCCTCGAACATTTCCCTGAGGGCTGTGGCTTCTGAGCTCTCCACTCTGGCCCTGACATCCTGCTTCAGTTACCCAGAGACTGTCAGGCATTTTCAGCACTGTAGGATCCAGCACATAGTCAACTGAAGAGATGTCTGTAGCATCAGGAGCACGAAGACAGCTTCTTGGTGGTCTTAGGGAATTCAGTGGCAAGGTGTTACTCGGGTCTTGGTGGGGAGCCGTAGAGGAGTCTGGCCAGCTCAGCAATGGGCCAGTCTCCTGGCGGAAAAATCTGCCCATACAACGTCGGCTTGGACTAAGAAGTTTCTGAGTGGGTGAGACCATTCTGTATTCCTCTTGTAGTCTCTCTCCTCTTTGCATAGTCATTTCTTTAACTCTGCCTTGAACTTTTGGCTCCTCTGGGTTAAAACTACTTATGTGTTTGGGAACTTGACTTTCCTGAAAACCTTTCACAGTCTCTGATTCCTCAAGACTTTCCAAGCCACAGGGCTGCCCTCTGGGGCTTGATGATATAAGCACCAACTCGCTTTCCTTCTCAGAGGACCACTCAGGCCTGGCCTGCAAGGGCACAGCTCTAGCCAATGCTTTCGTCGTCCTTGGATTAACAAAAGTTCTGGGGCACTCACTGTGAGTTGTACGTGCCCCTAAATAATCACAAGTGTCCCTGGCCGGTCTATCTAATACAGCTGGGAGTGTGTGCTCTCTCACACATTTAATGTCTTGTACCCATTCGCTTGACTTGAAGGGGCTCAGGGTGATTTCCTGGAGCTGGAGATCTTCCCCAGTGCTGCTGTTACCCTCCATTTCACCATCTCTAAAGACAGCATCATCTGTTTGTTTTGGAGAAGGCTGATCCTTGAAGTACAAGTGGTCTCCACAGCTGCCTGGCCTCAGGACATGGTCAGCCATCTCCTCACCCTGGAACACAAATTCATTACTGACTCCTAGTGTGTGGGAAGCATATAGCTGCTTATTCTGCTTGGATTCGATTTCCAAGATACCATTTTCTAGCTGCATGACACTCTTAATTAGCCTGGCCATTTCATCAGCATTGTTAACTCTTTTATTCTGCTTCTTTCCAGAAGGTGGTTCTCTGGGATTTAATGTTTCTTGCGACTTTCCAAGGCCCTGGCATTCAGTGAGGTTTCTTTCCTGAGAGTATATAACTGACTGGAATCTTTCATGTGTAGATTCTGTCCATGGAATCTTATACTCTTCTGAGCTGTCTTTGGGATGGAGAGATTTTCTAGAAAGCCCAGTTTCATTCTTCCCTTTCCCCTTGTGGGTTGGACTACCATCCTGGACCATTATCTTTGGGCTGCTTACTCTAGGATGTGATCTAGACTTCAAAGAAAAAGCAGTTTCCCCTAGCATATCCCTGTCAAGGCCTAAACTGATGGTTTTATAGATGAATTCAGACCTGGCCCCAGAAGGGAGCTGTCTATTCCACCCAGAGGCCTGGGTATGTCTTAGGACTGTATGCTGATCTTGCTGTTCCTCCCCACCTGCCTGAGATTCACAAATAAGAAGAGGCTCCCCAGACCCAGAACTATCTGAGGAAACATTGCAATATGGCTGTATAGTAATCTTTTCACCCTCCTTGAGTGCTGGAAGACTCTGTTTATTTAAATTTCCAACTTGATTTTCACATTCACATACTTCTGTGCTGGCAGATGTAAGAAAATGTCTGTTCTGAGCAACAAACAAATACACTGAATTATGGCTTTCTTCTTGAATATTTCCAGGGCATTTCCCTATTTCTCCACTAACTTCCTTGGTGCTGAAATCAACTGGCCTCTCTGCTGTGACCTGCTGCAATGAGGCAATCTTGGAATTCTGTTTTTGTAACAGCACTGGCAAATTACTCTTTAAATAAACATTCTGGAGTACTTGGTAGTCATGACCAAAGCCCCAGGCTTCCCTGGGGGGTGGGGAATACACTCTTGCTTCTCTGCAGGCCGGGATCTCTAAGGCAGTTTCTGTCAGGGCATCCCGGCTTTTGGTCATGTAGAATGTTTCTAAGGGAGGTGGTTGCAGGGAAGATGGGAATGAATTCCAAGGAGCAGAGTGGAGGTACAGCTCTGGACCCGTCGGAAAGGCAAAGGAAAGATTGGTGTGTCTTCCAACCACTTCCTTGGAGCTCTCCTGGTAGTCTGCCTTCTCTTCCTGTCGGGGGTGGTGGCTGTTGTGATTTAATTGCCCTGCTTGGCCACTACTCTTCTTCCTGAGAGGAACACAGCATTGGGGCCAATGGTCTTCAGTGGCTATGGTGACATTACTGTGACAAGGGTTCTTCAGAAAGAAACATACATCAGAGGAAGTCATCAATCTAGGCTTCCTCCCGCCACTCTGGGAGGACTCTTCCAAGTTGTTCTGTTTGACTTCATATGCTTCTACCGTGGACTTTGCAACCTTGTTCTCTGCTGCAAAGACCTGTGCATTTGTAGTTCCAGAGGTCGACGATTCTACGTCTGCTGAATAATTTCCACTGTAACTCACCTCTTTCTCACTAGTTGTAAAGGCATCTGAAGTACCTTCAAACTCTACACTCAAACTGTCCTGTTCTTTCTCTGCCCTCAAACGCCTAATTTGGGACATATGGATAGGAAAGTTGCTGAAATTCAAACTGTTAGATACCCTAGAACCAACTGCCAATAGAGTATCTCCTCCTTTGCCAGAAGCTTGGGTCAGGAAACCACAGTCCTTCTCGAGGGAGGTGAAAGCTGGCCTGGGCTCTCCTATAGCCTCCAAAACAGGATGAGATAGTTCAAGGAGGTACTTGTGCTGAAGGGCAGCCCAGTCCCTCTCACGGGCACTGCCTACATGAGCAAATGAGGCATCAGAGGCAGGCAGCACGCTCGACACACTGGAGTTGTTGGATGTTTCAGAGCTGCCCTGCTCGGCTGTGTCAGGGACACCTCTGGTCTGAAAGGTGCTGTCAGCTACTGGCTGAAGAAGCCTGTAAGACCCCCAGAGTGATAGCCTGGATGTATCAGAAGCAGGAATTGTGTACACAGCTCTTACACTGCAGGGCAGCTCAGCACTGTCTCGGGGCAGTTTGGAGGTATAGGACAGGACTGCTTCTGCACCTGATGGCTTTAGTCCTTCCATCTTTGGCCAGTATCCAGGCCTCTCCCAACCACAGGGGTGAAATTCCTGGATATCAGGACTTGGACATAAAGAACCCACTATTCCTTGGGGGCTGCTGGGATTGATCTTGGAGTCACAGGAAAACCAGGAATCCATGGACAATAGAGGGCTCCCTCTTGAAACCTGCATGCCTTGGAGAGAGTTGGCTTGCTCAAAGGAGCTTGTCTCCACCTTCCACTCGGGCTGCTCACAGGGGAGCTGGGGCTGGGAATCAAGGTAAAATGAACTACTCATTGGCAAGATGGCATCCAGCCTGGCTCCTGTTCTTTGAGTGATGGGACCAAGCCTGTACATTGCCTCCTGGTCCACTATGGGCAGACTGGAGGTCTGCAGGTGCCAAAACGTCTCTGTTGGCATCTCGTCAGCTGAACTGAAGAAAGGCTCTTCTTGCTGATATTCCCCCAGTTCTTCCTCAGCGTCAATCAGGCTATCCAGAGAAAAGCTCCTACGAGCCTGGGTGAATAGTCCACTGTCCGAAGATGTGGTGAAGCCCCTCACAGTGGCTCTAGCTCTGGCCCTGGGGTGACCATAGCCATTGGTGAGATAACTGCCCCCTGGGCTGTTCTGTGGGATTTGGTTCCCATTCTCAGTCAGCGAGTCCTCGGATATTTGGCTGTTGTCACTTTCAGTGTTCTCTGGCTCTGAGAGATGCTGTTCCTTCCCCTGGGGGTTCCCTGGCTTCAGTGGCTCCATTAGGTCTTTGGCACAGACACAGGAGAGAGAATCCACCGAGTAAGTGCTATCTGCATCCGATAAATCACCATCTTTTTCTCTCCTATGATCCATTACTGGGCCGACATCTGTGAGTGAGGCCATGGTGTCTGGGTCTCCTGCACTGTGTTGCCTCTTCAAAGGGAAACGAAAGGACTTTTTGGTAATGTCTCTGACCCTAGTTGCCAACACTCTCTGCTGCCCTTTTGATGCCCTGCTTGGAGAAGGTGGTTTGGATTCTATCCAAAAAGTCTTGGCTGCCTTTCCATGCCCAGCTGCCTGTCTGGATCCATGGGGATATGAGGAACTGCAACTGGCTCCTTTAGCAGCCTTGTGGGTCCCAAGGTCCCCTTCTTTTCGCCACCCTGCTGGTCTGTGGCCAGAGTCTGATAGTCCCTTAGCCCTCCAGGTCTTGCTAGAAGGTGTGAGGGCGTCTGGCTCATCCCTTGGCTTCAGCTTGTTAGCTGGTTGGCCCAGAGATGCTAAGTTCTGGGACACCATTGGGTGGGGATGCTTGCCCACTCTCTCCATTTCCTGGATGCTGGAAGACTCAGAGCTCATGCTGAAGCAGGTGCCTGGGGCCCAGGATCTCCTGGCCAAGGCTGCCCTGGCTGTGCAGAGCTGCCCCTCGCCTGAGGAACGAAGGACATTGATGTTGAAATGCCCTGTCTTTGGAGGGTAAGGAGCAGCCTGGGACAAAGACTCTTCTGATTGGCTTTTCTCTGATGTCTGATCAGTAGAGTCAGGCATAGGAGGTAACGTGGTGGAGGGGCCCTGATTCCGGAAAACACTGTGGGGAAAAGGAAAGCCATCTCAGAAAAGAAAGCAGTCCCTACTTCCTGCTGACAGAGGGACTATAAAGTCCCACCTAATCTGCATTGAAAGAAGTTAAAAATTAGGCCAATGTCACTGTCCCCTATAGTCCTTCATGTCAGAGAAAAGCTCTATAGGTACAAAAGGAAACTGTGGACTATAGACCTAGCTCTCTATACCTCAGTTTTTTTATCTTATAAAAAGGTTGAATTGACTCTGAATCTAATCATGCCTTTAAAGAAAACTTCAGTTAATAGGCAATACAAAGAACAGAGGAACAATTTAAATGATACTACAAGGAATCAAACGGACAAATCTATAACATAGCACATTCTAAAGAACTGGCTCACTCTCTTTTAATAATCAATGATATGAAGAAATAAAAACAAAACAAAAAATTAAAGAAACTTAAAAGATATAACCACATGTGTGTGTAAATCCTATATAGATCTTCATTTGAACATCTAACTATAAATAGATATTTTTGAGGCAGCTGTAGAAATTTGAATATGGCCTAGATTTAGATTATACCAAATAATTCATCTCAATTTTGTTAGCTGTGATAATGACAATGTGGTTATAGTAAAAGTCCTTATGCTTTAGAAGTGTATACCTGATGTAGGATTGAAATGACATGATGTCTAGGAGTTTTTAAAATATTTCATCAGAAAAAGGAAGGAGGGGAGATAAAGCAAGCATGGTGACTCCAGATAATTGCTGAATGGGTTAGGTATTATTCTCCCAAGTTTGTGTATGTTTAAAATTTTTTCATAATAAAAAGTTTTAAAAAAGCCTGCCTACTACTCTGAAGACCAGAGAGGTGAGCAAGCATAACCCCACAGACGTTAATTGTCTACCTACTATGGGTAAGGCCCGGGTAGGCCCAGAGCATAAAGAGGTAGACACAGTCCCCTGTTCCAAGCAGTCTGGGCGATAACATATCCTCACCTTGACTAAATGTAAGGAGTGAAGGAGAAAAGAAACAAGAAAGATCCCAAATTGAACCTGGAGTCAGAAAGATAATGTTCTCCTCGCTCACCAGTTGGGAGGTGGGGTCAGGAAGCTCACTTGAGGTGGCAGGTCAGGTGGGGAGGGAGGAGGAGGGAATGTGTGGGAACAGAGTCTGGTTTGAGGCAGGATGAGAGGGAGGTGGGGCAGGAATACACAAGGATATGTAAGTGGATAGTCAGGGTCTAAAGACAAAAAATAAGGCTCACACAGAAGATCACACCAAAGCAGCAAGAGCTGCCACTCAGAGTGGGAGAAAGAAAAAGCCTGAGTCTTAGGAGATATCAACTACAGAGAAAGAAGGAGTCAGAAGAGGGAAAGGGTGACAAGGAAGAGAGGAGTAAATACATCTTTCCATTTTACAGATTGAGGAAGCTGAGGCATTGGGAAGTAAAGAGCACGGCCTGGGCAACAAGGCTTTAAAAACCTCAACCAAAGCTTCCAGGTGGCTGTACCTGCATAGCTGGGGCAAGTACTGGAGGCAGAGGCTTCGGAGGCTCAAAGAGCTGCCACTTGTCGATCTGCTTCTACCTTGATGCCCTGTGGCCGTGGCATTGGGGCTGGGGACCTGGTGTTGGGGGTCTTGGGGACAACCATCCTGGAGCCAGCACAATGCCTTGAGCTGCTCCAGTCTCCTCTGGGCTTCCAGCAGTCTCTGCTTCTTAATGATTCTCTCTAGCTGAAAAGAGACCTTTTTTCGCCGGACGGTCCGCTCTGCTGCCCGTAGAGCTCGTCTCCGAAGGAACTGACGTGGTACTGCCCTCTTCTGGCTTCGGACCAGTGGGGATGGTTGAGTCTCAGGATATGTCTGAAGCCAAGAATCAGTTGGCACAGAGGCCTCAGGTTCTTTCTCTGCTACACGGTCTTGCTGATGCTGATGTTGCAAGCTGGCCAACCAGGTCTCTTCTCTGAGCCACCACTGCTGGTCTGGGAACCAAAAACACCCTGAGAGAAGGTCAGCACCTCCCTCCCTGCCGGTGGCTGCCTGGACTCAGACACCTCCGGCCATGGCTGGACCTATACAGAGTGAAAAAGCTGGCCGGGGTGACATCCCCTTACCACAGGGCAAGGGAATGAAGCCCCAGGCCTCGGCACAGCAGTGGGTATATGCTAGGACAAATGTGCGCAAGAGAAGGAGTGAGCAGAGGTCCATTACTCTGAGGGGCAATAGGAAGCTGCTTCCTTATTCTTGCTTCCAGCCCCTTGTAAGAGCCTCTGGTCTCTAAAAAAAGAAGAGAGAATGCCTAATGCCAAAGATTCCATCATATCACAAAGAAAACAAAGGGGAGAATACGGAAGTCTGGGGAAGAATGAAAATGAAGAGATGAGAAGATGAAGCAGACATTGTGAGCAGCGGGCACCTACTGTCTTTAATCTGCCAGCTGACATGCGCCTGGTCCAATTCCAGGTCCTGCTTGGCTCTAATCTGTTGCACTAGGATTCGCTGCCTCAAATCCCCCGTGTAGCACTGCTGCTGCTGAATCTCGGCCCTCTGGACTGTCTCTCCAGCCCTGGGTAGCTGGTGGTCCTTGTCACGCTGCTCCCCCAGCACTTTCCTGTCACAGAGGGGCCAAGGTTACCCAGGGAAATGCAAATCCATCTCAGTACAAACCAGTGGACATCTAAGTCCCTCTGAGAGAGCCCATAAATTCAACAGGGCAGAGAGGGCTTTGGACTTCTGGCAACTTGGGACACACAGGCGTGGTGTCACAGGCAGCTAATGATGTCATAGTGCAGGAGGGAGAACAGTCCTTAGACTAGCGTATTCTTAGATTGTGGGTTTAGCACAATCTAAGAAAAATAACCAGGAAAGTAAAGCAGTTTTCAAACAAACAAAAAGCCCTGAAACATTTTAGCTAAGTCAAGAAACTTTGCCTTTTTTTTTTTTAAAAAAAGGGTATTTGCTGGAAACAAAGTTGAGCAGAAGCCCCAGAGTCCCTGTGGAATGGAGAGTCTTGCACACATGTTCATAGATTACAACTACACCTCCATTCCCCGAAACAGAAATCCTCTGAGAGCTGGTGGTAGGCGGCAGCCATTCCAGACAGAGAATTTACACAACCACACTTGTGTGAACCAGCGCTGGAAGAGGGTTCAAGAGTTTTAGACTGTAACATACCCTTCAGAGATATATGCTGAAGCATTTTCTGATGAATTTGTCTGGTATTTGCTTAGATCCAGTGGGGAGGAGTGGGGGAAAGTGAGTGGGAATGTAAATGAAACAAGATTAACTATGAGTTGATTGTTTGTAGTGTATTTGGAATTTTCCATAACACAAAGTTCAAAAAGAATTTTAGATTACAGTCATACTTCATTCTGCTACTAGGTTCCTGGGTGACCATGGATGACTGAGAGCCTTCCCCTAAAGACTGGCAGCTTATGCCTGCCATGCTAACCTTGCCCTGGGTCACACATAACCTTCTAGAGAGGACCTCACATGCTATTTCTGCAGGGTCACTTCATCCCTGTCATTTGGGTTCCTAAAGAAGCAAACTGAGTGGACGTTCCAGGATGGCAGTTGGAGGGGGAATGGCTGAGAAGGGTCAGGATCCACCAGAGGCTCACAAAAGTGCCTTAATCCAGCCTCCCTCAGCCTTCATTCCAGCCCCAGGATGCAATGACTGGACACTAGAACCAGCTCTCAGGCCGAGCAGCATGCTCTTAAGCGGTTCACTCTGCTCAGGAGATTTACACTTTGCAGAGCAGAATGAAATCACAGAGGGTTTCAAAGCAGAGGTTCACTATAGCCTGTGGGCCAGATTGGGTCCACTGCCTGTTTTTGTGAGTAAAGTGTTACTGGAACACAGCCACACCATTCATTTACATCTTGTCTAGGCTGCTTCTGAGCCACAATGGCAAAGCTGAGTCTCAGCAGCAGAGACTCTAAGTCCTGCAAAGCCCTAAAATACTACCTGGCCCTTTACAGACCATTTGCTGCCTCTGTCTTAGAGGAATTAAGATTCCTTAATGTAGCTTTAGGAGGACAGTAAAGGATGGATGGGTGGGAGAGTGAATAGATGGATAGGAGGTACGTGGGTAGGAGCTGAAACATGAGCAGTGTCTTCTCTGTGAAGGATGCTGTGAGGTGATTCAAAATGCAGTGGGGGTCGAAACAAGATGGCAGTGTAGACAGAAGCTGCACCCGCCGCCTCCCGCAACCACATCAAGATTACAACTAAAATACAGAACCACCATCGCTCAGAACCTCCTGAAATCTGGCTGAACAGAAGCCCTACAACCAGGGAACTGAAGGAGCATTGAGACCGGGAGGAGGGGAGGAGATGCTGGCGGATCCGGGTTAAATCATGGAGACGGGGCCGCGGGCCCACACCCGGTGCCCCAGTTGAACCCCGGGAGGACATCTCCGCAGGGGAGGTTTCCTGGAGAAGGGAGGGGTCCCAGCCCAACTAAGGGCTCCCAACCCAGGGCTCCAGGGCCAGGAAGAGACGTCCCCAGGACTCCGGGCTGAGAAACCAGCGGGGACTGTGGCTGAGGGTCCCGGAGGCTGCGGGAGCCCCACGCTTTCCTCTCAAAGGGCCCGCGCACGGACTCACTCAGACGCGCTCCCTCTGAGCCCAGCGCCGGGCAGCAGCCTGAAAGGACCTGGGACACTCGGGGAGGAACTAACCTGCCTGAAATCCGGGCGAGAGGTGGAGGGGCGGCTTCCTCCCAGGCAGAAGAGCTGGCATTGCTCCTTTGGCGAGTCCTCCCGGCACACAGCCGGCAGGTAGGTGCCATATTTGAATCCCCAGCACCTCACACCTTTGGCCCCTCCCCACCTGCAAGCTCATCCAGGCCATTTCCAGTGGCTTTTCTGTGTAAGTGGCCTCTCAAGCCTCATGCTTAGGACTTTCCTAAAATTCCTCAAACAAGCAGCAGCATGACCCATAGGGCTTGATAAGTGGCCCCAGGCCTGGCAGTAGCAGCAGCCTGCACTGGCTCATAGCTTGGCCTCTCCTGGACACCTCCAAGCCCAGCATAACTGGCAGCCAACTACAGTTTGCTGTGTAGCCCATGCTGGGTGGCCCTGGGCAAGGCACTGGCACAGGCTGACTTTGCACCTCCCAGGAGGCCCCAGAGATAGTGCACCTGGTGCTCAGACTCGACCGCGCTGGATTACAACCCTACCACATCCACGAGTGACACTCAAGGGGCGCACTTGGTGAACACCAAAGCCCCACTCAAGTAAATCCTGCTCCACAGGGGTGTCTCCAGCACAGCAGCTCTTTGGCTGTAGTTGCAGCTGGTCCTCACAGCTGATTGGCCTGGGGGTCAATTCCTCCCAGTGACACCAACAGCAACCAAGGCTCAACTACAACAGGACAGTGCACACAGCCCACACAGGGGAGCACCTAGAAGGCCCAGCTCAGGTGACTGGGGAGGCTGAGCCACTGGATCCTACAGGACACCTACTACACAAAGCCACTCTACAAATTCCAGGAGACATAGCAGCTCTACCTAATACACAGAAACAAACACCTGGAAGCAGCCAAAAGTGGAGGCAAAGAAACATGTCACAACGGAAAGAACAGAAGAAATCTCTAGAAGAGGAACTAAATGAAATAGATCCAAACAAGCTAACAGATACAGAGTTCAGAATTTTGTATTTAAGGATGTTTAAACATATTATTAGGGAAATAACTGAGAAAATCGATAATATAATAAAGTACCAATTTGAAATGAAGGCTA